CTATCTATCTATCTATCTATCTATCTATCTATCTATCTATCTATCTATCTATCTATCTATCTATAATATTTGTATAGCCTGTCTCAAATGAAAATGATTTGGGACGATGTACAGCACAATCCCATTATCATCAAAGGAAAGGCATATACTTTTAGCTTAATTTTAATATTTTGCTCTAAAGAGAGGTCTGAATGCCTGCCACTTTTACACTCTACACACATTTTTTTTCGGTGTGAACAGAGCGTGATCAGTAAAACTGCTTGCACTTACTCTTCCTCAGGAGCTTGCATTCACTTGGTGGCTCCTCTTTTTTGCAGGAGTGGATCTGCTCAGAAATTGGTGTCACAAAGGTTTTCACAATGGAATAATAACAGATTCTACAGTGTTGGTAAGAATGCATCTCTCCCTTCCTGTACACTATATTTTACTCTTTCATGAGGAAATACTGCTGTTTCTTTGCTTGTATTTATGGAATCCATTTGTGATGTCTTTGCTTAATTAAAATACTAGCTCCCAACTATTTTCTTTGATCCAGTAATTTTTGGAGGTTCCTTAGCTTTCTGGGAGAGGGAAAGAAAAACCTTATCTCAACAGACTCATCTGACTAGATTCCCTTTCCTGTGCTGTCTCTCTTAACTACAGTGGTCACTGCCAAGACCTCACTTGTATTTGAAGAATGATCTTATAAATGCCTTGAGCAAAATGGACCCAGGCAGAAACAGGTGAAATATTCACATACTGTATTTTGAATCTGTTTCTCGTTGGTGGGTTAGGCTGTGTTTGTCTACAGGTAGTCTTCGACTTACGACCACAATCGAGCGTAAAATTTCTGTTGCTAAGCAAGAGAGTGTTAAAGGAATTTTGCCCCATTTTACAACCTTTCTTGCCACAATTGTTAAGTGAATCACTGCAGTTGTTAAGTTAGTAACACACTTGTTAGGTGAATCTGGCTTCCCCATTGATTTTGCTTGTCAGAAGGTCATAAAAAGTGATCACATGACCCTGGGACACTGCAACCATCATAAGTATGAGTCAGTTGCCAAGCAATCAAATGTTGATCACATGACCATGTGGGGATGCTGCGACGATCATAAGTGTGAAAACGTCACATTTTTCAGTGCCGTTGTAACTTTGAATGGTCACTGAATAAATGGTTGTAAGTCGATGACTACCTGCCTTGAATTTGGCTTAGCTGCATGTGATGTAGGGAGGACTGCTTCTTTTAATTGATTTTTAATTTGTTTTGTTTTGGGCTTTTTTAAATGATCACACGCATGCACACATTTTATTTTATTTAATAATATTATTTATAAACCAATATAACCTTGAATATATTTTTTCAAGAGCAGAATTATATTTAATATAATGCTCATCTTGATCTTTTAGATCTTACTAGCCCAGATGAGGTATAATGCTAAATTAGATTTAAAGGCTACATGAACGGTCATAATTTAGTCTTGGGCTTGTAATACTGTTCCCCTCTCTTCCCCATCAGGGCCTGCTAAACGTAGAGAGATGAAGTATCTATTTAAAGCTAACATAGTTTCTACTAAAGGACAACTTAAGATAACTATAATTACCAACGGATAAAGTTAAGCTTCCAATTTTTTCTGGATAGATGCCTGAGGAGGAGGAGGGGAAGGGAGGATAATTCTTTATGTTATGTAGAATTACATTTTAGCATTCATTTTTCATCAAGCCATTTTCTCCATTTTTGTTGCTGTTACTTAAGTGTGTATTTGATGTAATGGGATGGGAGGGGGGCACAGTAATGACGAATCCATCCCAAAGGACTTCATTCCCTTCAAATTCAAAGGTAGCATAAAGCAAACAGAAAGAGGATGAGTCTGTCAGTTTGAGAGAGTAGCATGCTTTGGAAACTATTTGCACAGTTTATTTTGTTGAACAGGAATGGGTTTTTCTCAGAACATGTTTTCTTTTCCGCAGCAAAGGCCCACGAGATGGAGAGGAGCCAGTCCGAAACCCTGAGCCAAGTTCTTGCACTCAAAGCTTACCTCAGATTAAGTACACAGTTGGAACTCTCAAGAAGTGCACCATATCTAATGCCCTGAGCAATTCAAATGGGATAAAGTGAGGTGGAACTGAGCAACAGGCCAACCTCCCCTCCTTCGCAGTGTCAGGAGGGGGTGCATGTGACCTACCTCAGCAGAAGCTAGGAGAGCCAGTATTGGAAACACGGGAGAGGACCTCACCTAAGGGTGCACCCGCAGAAATATTTTTTGGAAATGAAATTGGGACAAAGGAAATGCTTTACTTGATCAAAAGGGACAAAATATTCTGTTTATAGTTTTTTATGACAAAGTAAGTTTCTAAACATAGAAGCTTGAAAAAACTATTTAATTTCTTGTATTTTCTTGTCATTGGCATGTTCCTCATTACTTGAGCCACAAGTGCCTCTCACTGTTAAATGTTACCGTGTCAGGTTAGACTGGATACTACTTGCCTTTGTTTCAACATATCCAATGCCTTGCTACCGTGGGACAAGGTTTGGCATGCATATAAGGGTTCTCTAGCCCCCTGCAATTAAGATTAAAGTAAATTCTTGGTTATTCAGGCACTGCAGGCAACTATCTTCAGCATGTCTTTTGGAACACTAGTAATGCAGACAAATGATAGACTCCTTGGTGCAAAATCTAGACTTGGATGTGAAATCGCTGTGTGAGATCTCTTTAACTTGATGATCTTTGATCCCAGTATATGTTCACAAGGGGTGCAGTAGCCGAGCAGTTAAGATGCTGGGCTTGGGTTAAGAAGCTCACTTTGTCACGTGGTACTTAGGTCTCAGAAGGTTGGCAGTTTGAGACCTAAGTACCACATGACAGAGTGAGCTTCCATTCATTGTCCCAGCTCCTGCCCACTGAGCAGTTTGAATTTGAAAGCATGCAAATGCAAGCAGACAAATAGGTACATTTTGGTGGGAAGGTAACAGCTTTCAGTGTGCCTTTGGTGTATAGTCATGCCAGCCACATGACCACAAAAGTGTCTTCAGACAGTGCTGGCTCTTTGGCTGTGAATCAGAAATGAGCACTACCTCCTAGAGTTGGACACGACTGGAGGGGAAAACTTTGCCTTTTATTTTTTTTTAATATGTTCACACTTCTTAATATTTTGATACAGTAACAGGATTTAGTGTCTGAAAGTAATGTTCATATTTTTCTTAATCTGCAGAATAGCAAACCTTGGGATAGTTTAATTTAAACATACAACACATCCAAATGCTCCCCCCACCAAAAAAAGGCCACTCAGCTCCATTCACTTTGTGTTTTTGCCTTCAGTGTCTGCATCATGCTTATGGATTCTTCAATAACAGGATCTCATTCTAGTTTGGATTTAGGACCGGAAATCAGCATGAAAATCCTCTTCTCTTCCTTTCTGGTTAATTCCACAACATAACATACACAACACACACACCATTTTTTTTCTCCCTCAAAGGAGACTTCATATGACTTAAAAATGGGTGCTCATTTTGAGATTCTACATTCTCAAATCACTACTGTTTCCAATCAATAGCAACATTTCCCTTTTTTACTGCTGCAGAAATCTTTAATGGTGATCACAAGCTGTAATATTTCTTTGCTTCCACTTTAAATCTAATATTGGACAGTAGTGTTTTTGTACATTTTCATGATGCATACATAGGCCTGGGATGTATTGATTTTCTGATGGCGTACAAATGCCTGGAATATGTTGAAATTTGCACTTTTCAGTTTTTTCTGACCTGATGTTTGGACATGAATGATTTATACACTGATCAATATGACACTCTAGTCCCTGACACTTAACATTTCTCCTCTGTGCCGGAACATTAGTTTGTAAGCTGTTGCTAGATTCTATTTGACATATCTGAGTCTTGTGGGTGACATTTGGCACCTTTGATGCCAAGAGATTCTTGTGCTAATCAAAACAGAGAAACCCTTTTAAAAATTTGACTAGTGTGCAGTATATTTAATGAAGCAAGTTCCACCATTATTTTTTCCAGGTAGCAATAAGAATATCCTTGATCCCATATTTTTCTTTATGCTGAATGTCTTATTAAAAATATTGGCAAAAGAGGAATGACTGTTTCCTACAGTGTAGCTTTCAGATTGTTGATTTCTCCATTGGTTGAGGCAGTAATTATGAATCACACTAATAGATGTTTAAGTGTACAAAGGTTCCTGTGTCAATATCCCTGTGACATTACTCTTTCTGGTCCGTGACTAGTCTTGATTTAATTCCATCGGATTGACGAACTCTTTTAAACTACTTTGTTTTAGAATTATCCCCTAGATATTGTTATACCCTTCCAGGAAAAGATAGTCCCAGCTAATAATAGTAACATTTCCAAACCATACATTTTTGAACCAACAAGTTTTAATTCTTATTGCACAATCACTTGTGATCCCAGATGGCCTGACTAACCTTTAGGAGCAGGAAATTTAATCATACATATTGAATTAAATGTTTTGGCAAGTATAGAGAATTTAGAGAAAATATATGCTTTACAATGAACCATTTTTTAAAACCAAATCTGTCTATAAAATAATGCTCTTACACTGTTCCTGAAATCCCTTAAGTTTTTTTTCCCATTACAGAACGATTGGTATTACTTCAGCAAGAAGAGTTTATTGTGTAGCCCTTTGAATTAAAATTGGTTCTGCAGCTCCATCTCAGATAGTCATCTTAGGTCCTCTAAGAGGGTTCTTCTGTTCTGCTATCTTATCAACTTGGAGACAGAAGTGGAGATGGCGAATGTTTAAGGTGTATTCCACAAATGTTGCCAATAACTAGTTTCATCTGTGAGCTGCTGCTATCCTTTTCTGCAGAGCTTTTAAATAAGGGTGAGGTAGGGATTGTACCAACTCCACAAAAAAACAAGAGAAGTCACAACTCTTATGAGACTTGAAGATGTTTAAACCTGCCCTTCAACGTGTATCAAAACAATCTAGATAGCTGCTGAGACTAAATATGCTGGCTTTTTTAAAAAATTAAAATCTGTTTTGTTAAATAACCACACTGATGAGGGGACTGTATTGGCCACAGCTTCTCTCTTCTCTTTGCCTGGTGCATGAACAAGAAAGGCTCAAAAGTCTTCTATTAGGAATAGCCAATGAGCCCTACAATGAGTCCCCATTCCTTCCCCTACAAGTCGGTATCAAGCCTCCCTTCCTGGGAATTATATGATGTTGGTATAGAAGTAACCCTGTTAAGTTCCACAGCAACGATCACTTGTGAACTAGTCTGACTTATTTGATTGTATCAAATGACCTAAAAGAGCTAACTTGGTAGAAGTGTGAAAGGGGAGAAGCTTCTTTGGGTGACCTAAGGAATTCCCCAGATTGACAGCTCCCTGAGCTATCTTAAGGTCTTCCAACCACTACCCACCCTTCCTTGTAATTTAAGTAATTACTAAGAAACAAGTCTTCATTCCCCATTCTGTCTGGCCTGTACAACTATCTCGTTTCTTGGTTTTAACAGCTCAGATACTATTCTCAATTGCTATAATCTCTAAATAAGAGTTTGGGCTGTTTGCATTAGTAATTATTACAACTCTTAACATAAGTTGACGTGGCTTTTTCCATCAACATTAGAGGGACACATAAGATCTAAAAAAACAAGCAGTGCACTTCTAGATAAATTTGTCCCTTCAGTCCAGTGGTAGAATGCAGAGTTTGCATCCCCAACATCCTAAATTCAACCCTGAAGTTCGAGTAATTCTGGGGTGCTAATATTTTGAGAAGTTCCCAATCAACAGTGGACATAATTGTTTAACCGCAGCTTTTAGAAGCTCCAGAAGCCATGGTCAATGTTTGAAAGATACTGGGAATATTCAGCAATATCCAGATATTTCCCTTTTCTATCTTACTCAGCTTTTGTTCTTCAGCCAAATGTTGGGAGTAGAGTTCCCAGAACTGCAAGGTTGCAAAGTTATTAACCATGCAACGTGGGAATAATGATAGGTGCAAAAATAATATGTAAGAAAATGTAGGGTAGATGGCTCAATGGTCTGATTTACTTTTAAGACCATATTATGCTTTATATTCCTCATCATCCAAAATCTGAATTGTTTATTGTACCATGCAGAAACCTCCATAACTAGCTTTATTTTTCTGGGATAGTGTCAGTATGTAAAAATCTGATATTACAAGGCATAAGACCATTTGATTTCATAAGTTTGCCCTCTTCTCCAAAAAAATGTTCTGCATTTTGCAATTCTTTTCCTATTTACTGTATATTACAAATGAGGGAAAAACAAATTGCAGTTCTCAGAAGACAATTATGAACTAGCCTGATATTCTAGTTTTTGCAGTCTTGTATTGCTGGCATTTCAGTTTGGTTAGCATTGCTAGTTCTAATGAAAATATCTATTTTGATTCAGTTAACTAGCATTTGTTTTGCTCTTTTAAACAGCGCATGCAAGAGAGTAAAAGAAAAATCTAATAGAACTTGAACGTTCATTGTGAAAGAAAATGGTGAGAAACAATGCAAGTACCTGATCCTAATGGTCAATCGTTTTATGGCATAAAAAGGCATTTTGAATGAAGGCAAAATGAAATGGATGCTCCTCTATTTGTTCCTCAGAGTCCCTATATTATATCATCTTCTGCACAAGTAGGCTGATGCAACTCTGAAAAACCTTTTCAAAATTCAATTACTTGTATTTTATTTTGCCTTCCTCCTGAGCCTGTCCCATATATACAAGGAATTGTCCCTCTGAGCTGTACTGGTTTAGTTCCTAAGGCACTTGAATACAATTTGGCCTTAGGGTTTTTTTGGGGGGGTGGGGGGAACGTGAGGAAAACGGTAGGCCTTGCAGGATGTCTTCTTTAGTTCCTGCAAGGCTTAGTAAAATGAGCAGATTCAGTGGCAAAGAGATGCAGAAAAAAAAACCCCAATTCTATAAATTTACAGACTTGTAAATTTGGGGGGGCGGAGAAAGGTTTTGTGTGAAATGGGAGATAAAGATAGGTTACCTTTTTTCCAGGCAATTTTCCAATTAGAACACATGTATCCAATTTGTCCTGGGCCAGAACAGAATGGGCAAATTATGCTTTACCCAAACAAATCTTGGTGCCTTATCAGAAGTGTTCGGATTCACAGACATACAATATGCAATGTCCATACAGTATTCCATACACAATACTTAAAAGCCACCCCACGGCTTAAAGGCTTTGAAATCGAAGTTTATTCAGAAAGACAACATTTTTGAACGAGTTCAAGTTCACCAGAATTAAGACCTTTCCTGAAATCCTCCCCATTCTCTTGCACAGGGTGGCCAACAATAGCGTGTACAAAGTGCCTACCACTTAATAGCATCGCATAGGAAATACTCAAAACCGCTGTAGCAGCTTATCTAAACGTTTGATAAAATCATTGGATGATGCAATAGCTACCGATGAGTGCAAAACAAAAATAGAAGCAGGCTGGTGCGAAAGCTACTTCCTCAGCAGCAGCAGGAGGAGGAGGAGGAGGGGGTGCCTGGAGTATTTCTTGCTGAACGTCTGCCTAATGCCTATAGATGCAGAGAACCTTTGTTTAAAAAAAAAAAAAAAAGCCGTACTTTGCGATGCCTTCGGCTCGGGGCAGGATGGGTTCTAGCTGAAGACGGATTCCTGGCACCACTGCCGCTGTCACTCCTCTCTTCCCCCTTCCCCGCCCGCAGCAGACGTGATACTAAAGTCGCCTGGGCCAGCTGCCCTAAATAGAAGCTGCCGGCATGGAGCAAGCGACGGCGGCCCAGGCCTTGGAGCAGGTAAGGCGCTGGTGGGCGGTGGGCTGAGAGTCCCACAAACAGCAAGTCGCCGGCTCCGGGATCGGTCCCGTCCCGCCCAAAGAAAGGATTCGCAGCAATCACTCCAAATGACATCTGTCTGTCTGTCTGTCTATCTGCTGACCCCAGGGCACATCACCATCTACTTTCTGCTGCCCGGAGAACAAGGCTAGGATAGGGTTAATAGCCGTAGGGCTTGCAAGGCTAGAAGCCTGAGCCCCCCACCCACCCACCCAGCCAGCCAAACCCCTCGCCGAGCTTCAGCTCCGAAACAGATTTGTGTACAACAGGGAGCAACTGCACAACGCGAACTTCCCCTCTGAATCCTACCCACTGCTTCCCAAATGTGCCGCGGCTTTGCTGCTACTGAAACATCTTGTAACTTACTACCGATTCTGCGTCTCAATTTTCTCATTAGGTGCACATAACTTTCTCCTTTCCTTTCTACGCCCCCCTCACCCCCGCCCCACCGCCTTCCTGCTTTGTGTATTTATTTCTGGAAATGTATCCTCCCCCTGTTTTCCTTCTAACGCCGCCTGATTTTGTTTTTTAAACAATTTCTACATATATCTCTTCCCCCTTCGTTTTCTTTCTATTCCACCTCCCCCAACCTCTTTTTCTGGTGCTGGTGTAGAACTGACTCTACTGGAATGCAACATCTAAGCAGTAAAGCCTGCGGTGGGACAGGCCGAGCTTTAGTGGGTTTTATTATTGTTGTGGACTGCCCAGAGTTGTGGCAGATGAAGATGGGAAGCCATATAGGTCTGATCAGTCAAATCAATGTGCCTAGCAATGGGGCATTCCCACACTTGTTCCAACCTCACAGGATTGTTGTACGGAAAAAGAGGGTACACCGCAGGGGTGAAATCCAGCAGGTTCTGGCAGGTTCTGAGAACAGGTAGCAGAAATTTTGAGTAGTTCGGAGAACCAGCAAATACCACCTCTGCCTGGCCCCAGAGGGGGGTGGGAATGGAGATTTTGCAATATCCTTCCCCCTGGAGTGGAGTAGGAATGGAGATTTTGCGGTATCCTTCTCCTGGACTGGAGTGAGAATGGAGATTTTGCAGTATCTTTCCCCTGCCACGCCCACCAAGCCACGCCCACAGAGCCAGTAGTAAAAAAAAAATGTATTTCACCACTGGTACACCACCTTGAACTCCTGTACAATACAAATCAAATCAGAGAAGTTTTCTTCAAATTCTATCCAAGAATGGCCTCAAGGTGTAAAATCTGTTAGGGACTATCACCCAATACCTTGGAGGGAAGTCTAAGAAATAATGGCAAAATAGGTATTGTTAAGGGGGAGGGCAAATTTCATTTAGGTACTGTTTTCTGCTGACTCGAGGATAGTGAGTAGAAGTTCTTGGTACATTAAAGAATTTTATATTCCAAGTGCTTCTTAACTCATAAGTTGTATATTTCAGCCTAGTCTAATATAATAATGGAAGTTCTTATACCCTTTAACAGTATAGAAATAATAAAACATTTTAAACAATTGTGTAGCATCAAGCACACTCTATCTCAAAAATATATTTCTATATCTATCTCTGATATATATATTATAAATAACTCAGAGACAAATATATCCAAAATTATCACTTTATTAAAAGTGTCTGCAGATTTGAGTCACTTTGGATAGTTTATTACAATACTTTAACTGGTTGAACTAGCAGATTGGTCAACTACTAGTTTAACCATTTCATTGCTCCCTAAATGAAGACAGGTTAACTTAGCACCTGAATCTCATTCCTGTTACAACAACTGTTTAAAATTATGACAGTGCTGAACAAAGAGACTTGTGGCCCTTGTCTAAAGCTACGACTGTTGTAGCACCCCTGCGGGCAAGTGAACAAAATTCAGACCCTTGGTAATCTGCCTGCCTTTATGACCGGCTGTAGGAACAGGGCAGCATCCCCACCCCGCCTAGCTTTTCCCCCATCCTGACTGTCTGGGTCCTTGCAGACCTTGGGCCTGCTTCCCACCCTACTGGGTTCCACATCCTCCTCAGAATCCCCATCATGACTCGGTCCACTTAGTTTTTCTGTCGATCTTCTTCGGTAAACAGCCACTCTGTCATGCTGCCTTCCTTACAGAGAAGTCCTGTTGTGCCGTCCTGAAAGCAGGTGCCATTTTCGGAGTCGCCGCAATGAATTGTGGATGCTCTGAAAAGCCTACTTTGTGGTCTCAATACTCTATGTATAGGGAGGCTGAGGGGTGGATTGGCTGGCTCCTTCCCAAAGATGATCTATGGACAGATAGTTCATTATGGCCAGCCACTCCCAAAATGGTGCCCACTTCTGGAGAGAGCCTTGGGGTCAGATCTTTGGGGAAGGAACTTTTCTCAAGGCCCTGTGGGCCCAAAGTTCCTAGGGATGGCTTTATGTCCTCCTTGGTGGATTTATTATGAACTTATCCAAGATTTAAACTTTTGCCTTCTCTGTGTTCAATATTTCTTAGGTGTGATGGAGGAAATAGAGCCATGCAAGTGGTAAGGAAATATCTGAAAAGCTTATTTGCAAAATAAAGAAGGGCTGTCACTTTTGCTTTGTTTTGTTTTGTTTTGTTTTGTTTTGTTTTGTTTTGTTTTGTTTTGTTTTGTTTTGTTGTTGTGTTGTTTTGTTTTGTGTTGTTTTGTGTTGTTTTGTGTTGTTTTGTTTTGTTTTGTTTTGTTTTGTTTTAATCCTATTACTATTTCACTTGGATTGGTTTCATAGACCTGGGTGAAAAAACAAAATGTCCTTTCATCATGCAGATTTACAGTATATGATTCAGGTAGCATTCAGATCCTAAAAGCTGCACTGAGCATAGATGTAACAAACCCCCATTTAACTCTGTCCTTTTCTCTTTTTTCTCAGGTGCCATCATTGAATAATGGCCTCGGGCATCAGGAAGAAACAGGTGAGTAGTGTCCTGGATTTGTCCATTGATGGAGTGACCAGTTTCAACTCAGCTGATGCTGATTGAAGGCATTTGTGCCAGGGAATATTAATTGGATGCTAACTGCCCGCTTTGGGGATCTAAAACTGCTAATCATATTATTTAGAATACTCACTATTTAACACTATATGGCACAACCCCATGTAGCAAGGATGTTTTCTTTTTAACTTAATACTGCTCTCTTGATCTCCCCAATATCCAGATGCTAATTTCCCCCTATTTCAAATAAACTTGTAGTTTTTATATAGGGAATTTGGGTATGTTGCTACTTTATCACATTCCATTTCAAACAAATTAACTGACATTTGATCTTAACTGGATTCAAAATTCAAGTTCAGGTTTAAGTTTCTTGGGTAACATTGGCCAAATCGAAATATTTTGCAGCTTCTGTTTTTCTTCTGTCAAAGAGGAATAATGGTGCCCTATCTCACCAGATAGTTATGAGGGTATTCAATGAAGATTGTACAGCTAGTCCTCCATTTACGATAGCAATTGGGACTGAAATTGCTGCTACTAAGTGATGTCATAAAATGCAACATCATGTGACCACATTGCTTAGCATCGACAATTCCAGCAATCTCAGTTGCCAACATAAAATGAAGACTGTATAGGTTGTGAAGTGAAGACCTCATGTGACTGTGACTTTCAATTTTCTGCTGCTTCTGCATTGACTTTGCTTATGGGAAGCTAGCATTGGAAATTGTGATCACATAACTGTAATTTTTTACAACATCATAATCATGATCTCTGGGTGCTGAACATTGGATTATAATCATGTGTCTGTAGGAATGCTGTGATAGCGAGAGCAATGAAGACCCATCATAAGTATCATTGTTCAGTGTCATCGTAACTCTGAACAATCGCTGAACAGATGGTTGTAACCCAAGGACTACTTAATAAGGTTGTTCAAGTGTCACGGACATGTATTCATAAGTATACAGCTCCCTCACTGCCAATTTTTAGAAGCAATTAGATAAAATTTCTTCCCTTTGGTAAAAAGATTTTTTTCTTACTATATTCCATAGCTGTCCTATTAGAATAAGAGAATGCCTACAGACAACCTGATGTCAGTACATCTATGGTTTTCTGTTATTTGTAAAAATAATAATAATAATTGTGGCATTACCTGGAGACAGCAGAACAGAGGACAAAGAACTGGAGAAGATTACAAAATGCAAAGACCTGCAAGTAGAAATAGAATAACTGTGGCAAAATAAAGCAAAGCAACAGTAATAGACACCTTGGGTGCAATCCCAAAATAATTGGAGCATTGACAATCATCAGTCAATTGCAAAAGACAGATTTCCTCAGAACATCTTATATCGTGCAATAATATCTGCAACACTATCAAACATCCATATCTGCCTCACCCAGATCTTTGGGAAGGACTCGGTAGGAAGATAAAAATGCCAAATCCATTCTGAGCATCTGACTGATTGTACGACAAACCATAATAATAAATGAAGTGAGTGCTTATTCTCTAATTAATATGAGTATGGCCAGGTGGAATATATAAATGAGTAATGGTCAGTATAATCATAACTGCTGCAAGACTAGGTTTCTTTCTTTGCGCAATTAATTTCAGCCCAGGATATGCATGCTTGCAGCTTTATATGAGTAAATATCATAGTTGTAGACTTAATGAGGTGGAGGGAAGTTTGGCTTGGTTCAAAAAGTCAGCATAAGTTATTTTCATTTGTCAAAGATCTTTCAAAGCTTAGATTTACAATGCTTGCCCACTAGACCCCGCCTCATCTCTGGACATGGAGGAATCTGCTTTGAAAGCCAATGTTGTTGTACAGAAAGCCAAGGATTTGACTGCCAGTGACAAAGAAGTGAATTTGATAATGACAAATGTAGCGGCAGATGGCAAAACTGAGAGGCGGGATCCAGGACCAACTGTGTTTGATGCTGAGACTGCAACACACATTGGCAAGGTGACAGCTGCAGATGCCATTGCTGTTGAATTGGATTTCAAGTCAACCCATTCAGAGACCAAAGAGTTGGACAGAACTCATAGCAACAGTGGAGCAGGCCATGACATGATGTCCCAAGGTAGGATTAAGGATTGGAGTACCACAGAAAGCACACGGATTTCAGAAGATACAGGTCAGTTTAACAAAGGCACAGTCCTGGGTCCCAGCACAGGAGTAACATCAGAGGACACAAAGCTTGAACAGGGCAAACAGGAAGATGATGATGATGTCATTTCCCTTGACTGTGAAATTCTTGGGTTTGGTCCTGATGTTGAGTTCCTGGGCCCAGATGCTGAAATCTATATGCAGTTCATGCGGAGTCATCGCTGTTATGATGCTATTCCCACCAGTTCCAAACTGGTCGTGTTTGAGACCACTCTGCAGGTAAGGAGAATACAGGAGTTTTGTGAATCATGTAGTAATTTGAGGAGGGACTGGGGGGAGTATTGCTATCTGACTATATTGATGTCTGAGTCTTCTGCTGGGAGCTTGATATCTTAAAACGTTTATTTACTTAGTTGAGTTTATATGCTACTTTGGTTCAAAGATTCTGTAAGTGGCTAACAATGCTCTAATGTAAATTAGGTTTAAAAATATGCCATATCAAATAGCATAAAGGCTCATCCTCTTTTCGACTTTGGGAATAGCTGCTGTATATTCATACTTCCATTCTATTCCCAAAGGTCTTATGGGACTACCTTCTGAAATATCAACAAGGACAGAGTCATCCTTGTCTCTGGACATAGGTTGTTCCTAAGAGGGGGGGAGCCTTAAGAGAGAAGGGAAGTTTATGGCTTTCTCGTGTTGACACCCTTGCGGGATGCGCTACCCTTCAGCATTTTCCACAAAGTTGTATTCTACTCAAAAACAAGTGCCCTCTTAGATAACCAGAGGGCTTTGTGTGTTATAAGCAGCTCCTTGAATTGTATCCAGAAGCTTCTCAACAATCAATGCAGCTCTTGCAATAGTGATGGGATCAGTGGTGGGATTCAATTTTTTTAAACTACCAGTTCTGTGGTAGTTGGTGGGTGTGGCAGGGGAAGGATACTGTAAAATCTCCATTCCCACCCCACTCCAGGGGAAGGTTACTGCAAAATCCCCATTTCCTTCCGATCAGCTGAGACTTGGGAGGCAGAGAATAGATGGGGGTGGGGCCAGTCTGAGGTGGTATTTACCGGTTCTCCGAACTACTCAAAATTTCCACTACCGGTTCTCCAGAACTGGTCAGAACCTGCTGAATACCTCCTCTGTGCCACATGGGTACATCAAATATAACCAGACAAGTAACTGACTGCATTTTGAATCATCTGTAGCTTCTGAATAGTTGCAAAGACATCCATGGAGTCTTATTGCAGTAGTGTTTAGGTGGCTAGGATGAGGAAATGGAGGTCTTGCTGCTATCTTGGTTACATCTTTTTTTTTATGCTGCTGCAAAACTTGTTCCTCATTCACATTGGGAAAGGAAAGATTGCACATGAGAGCATTGTTATGAAGAGACCAAACGTAGCCTCCATCTTTGGTACAACCTCAGGCTCACTGGAAATTATTCTGCAAAGAATCAACTTGAACATATTTACAGTATTCATCTTGCCTTTCAACATGACCAGCATTTGATTAATTTAATGTGAGAAAAACTATAAAACATTGGCATAGCTGATTCACAAGAATATAGCTATTCCTGGTTGTTCTGCATGAGAATTCCTTGAATTGGCCAGAATGCTGTGTTAGAGGTCACCACTTCATCAGTTTTAGTGAGATGATCCCTCTTTCCCTAATTACAGCTTCTATTATACTATCAAAGCAAAGAAATGCAGAATAAGGAACCAATCCTGGAGTAGGTCTTTCCTTGTCCATCATGCAAGGTTAAATCAGTGGTGAAATCCAAATTTTTTTACTACCGGTTCTGTGACCGTGCTTGTTGGGTGTGGTGTGGCTTGTTGGGCGTGGCAGGGGAAGGATACTGCAAAATCTCCATTCCCACCCCACTCTGGGGCCAGCCAGAAGTGGTATTTGCCAGTTCTCCGAACTGCTCAAAATTTCCGCTACCGGTTCTCCAGAACCTGTCAGAACCTGCTGGATTTCACCCATGGGTTAAATCAGTTATTCCCTATCTGGAGACAGGGTGTGGGGTGAGGCACAGAATACAGCCCCAATCATTCTGGTTTCTGTCTCTTGTCCCAGATTAAAAAGGCGTTCTTGGCCCTGGTGGCTAATGGGGTGCGAGCCGCTCCTCTTTGGGACAGCAAGCAGCAGTGCTTTGTGGGTAAGTGATGCAACTGAATGAACCGCAGAGGTTGAACGCAGCAACAGTTGGGCATGGCAAAGATGGAGAGGAGAATTGGGATTGCCACCCATTTCAAGATGTATTAAGAAGAGTCCAGGAGGCAGAATTTGATGCATGCAGACATTTTTAAGGTTCATCCTCAAGTCCTGCTTGCCACAGCATAAATGCTTGCCAAGAACATGTCCCTACAATGAACCTTCACTTCACAGCCAGCCTGCTGCAGAGACAGATTAAATTTGGTAAAATGGCCAGGCATGAACATAGTGTTTTCCTTCTTAAACTGGCATCAGATCACTCGTCCACATAATCCATGGTTTATGGAGAAGGAACCTTAAGAGGTCACTGATCTGTTCAGCAATAGTTGGCCTACTGCAGAATCACCCTTACCCATCTGGCTGCTGGGCTCTTCATCACTGAGATTATCTGTGCTATAGCTGCCAGAGAGATTACACATCTTCCCGGCACAAATGTTTTTCTTTTAGAGGCAGCACTGGCAGTATTGACCTCATGTAAGACAATGTGCAGTAATCCCCCTCAGTAAATCCAGCATGAAATTAAACACATAGGATCCTACCATTTGCAGTCATATTTGTAAAAAGAATAATTCTGTCTTCCCTAGAAGGAAAATGATTATGGTATATATGAACTGGCTATGGACATATTTGGACACATTTTTCCTGGAATTGGAGCAGGCTGTTTTAGATGCTTACTTTCATTGTAGCAGTTTCCTTTGAGGGGGCTATAAATCACATCATAATTTCACCTTACTGAAAACTTGTGGATAATTTTATTTATAAAATTTTATTATTTATTTTATTTATATTTATAAAATTTATTGGCCGCCCATCTTACCATAGAGCAGTGTTTCTCAACCTCGGCCGCTTGAAGATGTGAGGACTTCAACTCCCAGAATTCCCCAGCCAGCATAGCTGGCTGGGGAATTCTAGGAATTGAAGCCCTCACATCTTCAAGCGGCCGAGGTTGAGAAACACTGCCATAGAGTAACTCTTACAGTTACATATAAGCTAAAATATAAAAAGTTAAAAACCAACATTAAAACCAAAGACACATGGGGAGGGTGGGGGAAGGGTGGGGGAATATGGGATCTATTATTACTCAATCAACCACCTCTATTGATCTGTTTCCCCACTGGGGCACATCTTTAGGCCCTTATGAAAAGATAGGAGGTTTGGGGCCAACCTCACTTTGAGGGGGGGTGGGCAAGATGTTCCAGAGGGCAGGAGCAACAGCAGAGAAGGCCCTCCTCCTGCACCCCATCAGCTGAAATAATGCCTCCTCTGCCAGCACGAATGGTACAGGTCAATCCCAGTGGGGATCCCAGTGGGGTGATATGGTCCCTCAAGTAACTTGGGCCCGTGCCATGAAGGGTTTTAAAGGTGATCACCAATACCTTGAATTGCAGCTTTAAGCCTTTAAAATATCAATTTTAACATTTTGGGTCCATTCTATTGCCTCATGCATTAGTGCCTGTTTCAATTAAGGTAGGAGCAAGCAACATTTTAAATACACACACACACACACACACTTAAAGATTGCAAATGTTGTATTTACAAAACAGGGATGGAAATGAAGCAAGATGCTGGCTCAGCAAAATAGATCTGTCAAGTCTAGAGGAAACTGGATATTCTTATTTTATTTCAGTAGAAATAAGAAAAAATAAGTGCCAAATTTGTGTTTTGCTCCCAAATTTCAATTGTGGGTCCCAGGGGCCCATGTGCTCTAACATACCCCTGGTTAGATCATTCAAACTTCTTCCCTGCCCTACTGCTTTGATGGCTAGTGGCTATGAGGCAAAAAAAATTGGATAGCACTCCATACTAATGACAGCAGGAAGGGGTAAATCACTAGGAGTGTAGAGGTGAGGAAATCAGCAAGGGACGGAGGCATAATTGACTTATAAGAAGCCACATGTAATGTAAGTTCTGTTAGTCAGTTCCTGCAGCTTGTAGCTTGCAGCCCATGTCCTGTAATCTCTTGGTGTGTATAAGTATCATTCATTCTTTCTCTTATCTCCTCTCCTGCAGGTATGCTGACCATCACTGATTTTATTAATATCTTACATCGCTATTATCGATCTCCTCTGGTGAGTTTTCCAGTACCTTAACATCTTCTCAAATCTGGAGCAAAGTGGCTTTAGACAGTTTCGTTCAGGGGACTGGAGAGAAGAAGAGAGGAAACAAATTGGGAGAACCATCCAAAATTAAGTTGCAGGCATGAGCTGTTCCAGATTTGGGATTCTAAGAGTTGAGCCTTTCAGCTGGAAAAATGGGTAGGTGAACAAAAAAGTTTTAAAATGGAAAACAAGAATGTGAACATACCACAAATTGTTTTTCATTGGCCTACGAGCAACTTGTAGAATAAATATTAATTGACATTGTAAATACAACTGAAATATTAGTGTGTTTAAAAATAAATGTTTTAGAAAAATCTGAATTGTTCCTAAACACTTTAGAAACATAATTTTGGGGAAAATTTTATAATTATATAATACATGTCTATTCAACATATTTATTGAGAGTCAACTTATTTGTCTTTTCATATCAGCTAGCTATAGAGCCATTTCCAAAAGCAATGTGAAGTCACATTGTTGGTTTCTCATTCGAAGGAAACAGGAAGGACTTTGAAGGTTATCTAATCCATCCCACTTCCATATGCAAGAAGCCAATACCGAGAGGCTGAATGGCTGGCTTTAAAAAATTAGGGTCCATTTTGCTCTCAAACAATGTGTTCCAAGTAACTCATACTTTTGAGGAATTCTCTTTAATATTTGTGCTTTAAATATTCTGAAATAACATATTTTAAAATTTGAAATCTGTTGGTCAGACCATTGAAGCAACAGAAAACAAATGCACATTATGAGACACCCATCAAATATTTAGCATTCAAAAGCATCTTTTTATGATGACTTTTTCAAAATTTTCCAATTAGAAGTTTTCCACAAAGAGTTAGGCCAAAATCCAGGTCATATAAAGCAGAGAGTGTGATTCTTTGGAACAGATATTAATTTATCCAGAATAAATTGGGTAGGTCCCAGCCAGCTCCGTCCTAATTCAGAGCCTCCACAAAATTCTATTCCCAATTTGTTACTGCGGAGTTGCCACCATATGTCATGGGTTCTTACTAGCCACAAGTAATCCGATTGATCCTAGGCTCACTAAAAACACAATAAGCACTGCAAATTAAGAAAGTGTGTTTGTTTTTGCATCTCCCTTCAAAATTTTATTATATAAAACAAAGATGGTTTATCAACAAGAACTGTAAAATATGAATGTTTTCAGCTGTTTTATATATTAGTAACTTACTAGTACTGCAAAAGCCTTAAGGAAAAAAAAAAGGAAAACAATATTTGGTAGGAAAGGCAGGGGGGTTGTGGGTTCAGTGAATAGCAAGTTTGTCTTCAAATTAAGCCTTGTTTCAAACGTTGTTCACACCAATCTCAGCATTTTGAGAATTGAAAAAAAAAAAAACCTTAGGAAATAAGGGATGTTTGGTGATATAATTTGCTCCTTCTATCATCCAGTTTCTTGTCTGCAGAATTGTGAGATAAATCTAAAGTTTAGCAAAGATGCTTCCCATTATTGAGGTTCTTCTTGCTGTAAATTTCTTCACAGTCTATTATCCCAAAACAGCAAAGCCACTGACTTTTTTTAAAATCACATTTTAAACTCTGCATGATGAAATTTGATATATATCTTCCATTTATAAAGATTTACCTTGTCTAGAAAGATCATCTAAATTCTGGTGAAACATTTGAAAGATACATCTACCTCTGTTTTTCCCATACTAAGCAGAAGATAGGTAAGCTCTGAGTATTTTTCCTCCAAGCTTAATCTAAAAAAGGGGTCTCCAACTTTGGCAACATTAAGCCTGGTGGACTTCAACTCCCAGAATTCCCCAGCCAGCTTTGTGAGAATTAAAGTTCGCCAGGCTTAACGTTGCCAAAGTTGGAGACCCCTGATCTAGAAGCCCTGACTCAAGAATGAATTATCTTTGGAGTGATAGGAACTGGATTGGGTTATTTCCACTGTTCCAGACTGGATCCCTGAAAAATAATGGATGGTTTCGGAATCCAGTATTTCTTCTTAATTCAGTAATAGCAAATAGTAGTAAATTCATATGATCAGCAATGGTATCTGTCCTATTCACTATTACTTTGTTCCAGGTCCAGATATACGAGATTGAGGGACACAAAATTGAAACTTGGAGAGGTAAGTAGGATATCCTTAAGAGAAATTGGATATCATAAATGCAGTTTAATATTTTTAACATTAGTTAACATCATCGCATATGTGAATGTTACATTTATGTTCCATTTACATGCATTAATGTTAGATTACAATCTTTCTTTATACTCAGAGCTAATTGTCCAATATTCTTTTACTAAGCATATAGTAGATATTATTTGGCTATGTACCAGGGGTGAAATTTACATGCAGAGGGTCAAAAACGGATGTGATGACGTCCGTGTGGGGGGTGGAGCCTCTGGCTGCCGGCGCTACTGGTTCACCCGAGCCGGATAGAACCAGCTCAATTTCACCACTGCTATGTACTGATAATGATAACGTTTATTTGTTGTATTCTCACTGGCTCAAGGTTGACTCAGCCTTCCATCCTTCCGAGGTCGGTAAAATGAGGATCAAGATTGTTGGGGGCAGTATGCTGGCACTGTAAACCACTTAGAGAGAGCTTAAAGCACTATGAAGTGGTATATAAGTCTAAGTGATATTGCTATTGCTATTAGTTCTTTTATGCTTTACCTACACCCTTCTTTCATTTTTTCTATGCTGGCCTTACAGTCTGGCTTTTGTTATTCTCCAGAGGTTTCAGTATATGGGCTGCTAGTGCTAGTCTGTTATTATCCTAAATTCTAATAAAGGATAATATTTGTAGTTCAGGGTTGACATGAGGGGTCCTTGTTGTTCTCTGAGCGTGCTTGTTTTCTTGCGACATTTCATTACCCAAACTCGATAACATCATCAGTGGTTGTAAGGAGTGCAGTTTGCTGTCAGTTTATATTCTGGTGGCTTGCCCTGTCAGTATATAAACTGACAGAAAACTGCATTCCTTACTAGCACTGATGAAGTTACCTAGTTTGGGTAATGAAACACCTGTAAGAAAATATGCAAGCTCAGAGAGCACTAAGGACCTCACATATCCTAAATTCATTTTTGAAAGATAAAAGAAATTCTACTGCAGATCAAGTAAGGCAACTTGGCAAATTCAACCGGTATTGTTGATAGAAACCGCTCTTATTACATTATCAACTGCAGTTATTTATGTATTTATTAACTATGTGCCCTCCAACTGTCTCCCTTTTCCTCCAGAGGTGTATTTGCAAGGTTGCTTCAAGCCTTTGGTGCACATTTCTCCAAACCACAGGTGAGTCAAGCATTTCCCACACAGGCAAGAGCATGAAAGCATCCTTTTTTTGGTAAGAGGTTTGCCAGCCTTTATTCCCACACCACCTAACACAAAAAGTTTCACTCTGCCACATACCACAAAACCCTTATCATTTTGTGGGCTGTCAAAGAGAAATCAGAAAGACGTCAGATATCGGTGGGATATCGGACGCCCACCTCTAAGGAGAGCCAGAGATACCCTAATAGAATCTATGATACTTTGTAACTTTATCAGCTGATAATAGGCAGAAAAAAATTACCAATCATCTCTTAACCCCAAAAAAACACCAGATTTATTTTTGCCTGTTTGAATACAGGTGGTCCTTGACTTACAACCACAGCTGGGACCAAAATGCTAAGCAAGGCGATAATTGAGCGAGTTTCACCCAAAATGTTTATGATATTTTTTGCCATAGTTATTAAGTGGCTCATGCAGTCATTAAGTAAATCCGACTCCCCCTGTTAACTTTGCTTGTTGGAAACCAACTTGGGAAGGTCACAAATGGTGATCGCATGACCCCAGGATGATGCCGGTTGTTAAGCACCCAAATTTTAATCATGTGGCCATGGAGATGTTGCAACAGTCAGCAGTATGAGGGGCAGTCATATGTCACTTTTTTCACTGCAGTTGTAACTTCGAACGGTTGCTAAACAAATGGTTTCAAGTCAAGGACTATCTGTACTCCAAGCCTCTTTCCATAACAAGGAATAACTCAGCTGTATTCCTTCATATACTCCTCCATTCTGAAGCAAGCCTGTCCATGCTCCTGAATGCCCTGGAGGACCTTCAGAGATGAGGACTTAAGACTTAGAATAACTTTGTCAGAATGTGTACTAATTGGCATACATTAAAATGAAATTACATTGCATACAGCTCCCAAAGGATCTCCACCAGAAATGGGCTGCTGCCGGTTCAGACTGGTTCGGGCGAATCGGTAGTTGCGACCCGCGCTATTCTGTCCTATATTGCCGTGTTTTGAAGCCGTGTGCATGCACGGAAGGCCCCACGGAAGGCACGCATGCACATTTTTGGTGCTGACCGAACCAGTTGTTACAACCAGCAGCAGCCCACCACTGATCTCCACCTCTAATATAAACATGAACATGATCAGATAAATAAATAAATTCCAAATTATGCATGTACCTACATATATGACACGGAGAAGCAACACAGTCTAGTTTGGATGTATACATGTACATGGTGAGAGAAATAAATCTTGCAAGTTTATCAGACGGATGGCATAGGGAACAAAGCTGTTACAGAATCTGGAAGTCCTGCTAGAAATACTTTGAAACCTCCTCCCAGAGGGGAGCAACAGAAACAGCGACAGAGAAAGTTTCCAAGTCCATTCCTAGGAACATCACAAGGCCTTTTCATGTCTCTTCCTTTCTCCCTCTCCTAGCCTCTTTGATGCAGTTTATTCCTTGATTAAGAATAAGATCCACCGGCTACCTGTGATTGATCCCATCTCGGGGAATGTCCTACACATCCTGACTCACAAGCGAATCCTCAAATTTCTGCATATCTTTGTGAGTGCTGGGAAGGTCTAGGAAGTCTGGAGTTAACTCTACTGAACTCTTTCCTTAAGGGTTGTTTGTCAACATGCACTGGCGATGCTCATGGTGCTTTTAAAAAGTTGAGAGAAAAGTTTTTCTTAAGTTGAGCTCAAAGCCAGCAAACAAATCTCTTCCTGCCTTCAAGATGTTCAGAATTTGAAACAGGGAAAGGTGCTAAGGATAGGGTGGAGTGAAAGATGGAGGAAGGTAAAGTTATTACGTTTATTTAAAACTTGATTACTTGGAGAAAAAGTGGGCTTTGGAGAAAAGGCTACAGGGGCAGGTAGCCTAGTTACATGCAGGATGTAGAAAGGAGGGAGCCAGTACATATAGAGGGAGATAGAAAAGGAATGGTAAAACAGTAATTGATAGAAATGGCCTTATTGTATGGGATTGTGGCCTTGGTATCTTCTATTCCATAGCATTTGGATCTGGTCTGGCATGGAGATCTCAGTACCATTGCTATAGTTAGGAGCTGAAAGCATATTGCTGGCTAAAAGTTTTTTTGTGAAAGGTTGAGTACAGAATTACATTTTTCCTCTTCATTGAATTCAGAATCAAAGGCAAGCCATTGTAGCTAGCCATGCTGGTTGGGAATTCTGGGAGTTGAAATCTTCCAGAATCATTATGAAATCATTAACATTTTTTATTGAATTATAACATATTATAAAATACAAAATACAAAGTAAATAGAAAAGCAGTGGAGAGGGGAAAGAGAACTGAGGAAAGATAAGAAAGAAAAAGAAAAAGAAGCATTGACTTCTGACTCTCTCTGTTACAGTAAAAATAAGGCATTAAGATCAAATCACAGCTTTTTGCTTTTTCATAATAATATGAACAAGCCATTTCTATAAAGATCTATCAGTCTAGGAATTGAAATCTTAAAGTTGTCAATGTTGGACATCCCTTGTTCTAAATATTTTTTTTTCTTCCCAGAGTCAATTAATTCTCTGTCTTTCCTTATTTTAATTCTGAAGGCAGTTTGATCAAGCTAGGAGACTCACCTTGAGTAAGAATGCTATTGTTTTGGAAGGAGAACGAAAAAATAAGTGGGGTAACACTAGGGGTGAAATTCAGCAGGTTCTGACAGGTTCTGGAGAACCAGTAGTGGAAATTTTGAGTAGTTTGGAGAATCGGCAAATACCACCTCTGGCTGGCTCCAGAGTGGGGTGGGAATGGAGGCTTTGCAATATCCTTCCCCCAGGAGTGGGGAGAGAATGGGGATTTTGCAGTATCCTTCCCCTGCCATGCCTACCAAGCCACGCCCACAGAACTGGTAGTAAAAAAAATTGGATTTCACCACTGGGTAACACTAAAGTAATCAGTGAAGCTGCAGAATAAGGATTCAGAAGTAGATCTGTATACCCTTAAATTAAACTTGATTTGATGATCATGGTATTATTTAGGTGAATTGAAGACAGATTGGAGAAGCATTTATTACTGCCTTTTGATGAACCCTTCCTATTTTGATGTCTTTCTCTCCTGCGCTGGTTCATTCTGCAGGCTTCCTTGGCAATATTATTGCTCTGAGTCAGATATAATCTGTCACCATAAACTTCCATTTGTTCAAAGACTGACTCTGATTCAGGATCATTGTGGGAATTAAAATAGTGGCTCCCAAATGGAGGCTTAAACAAGGTGCTTTGTAGCTACCTGAGATTGCCATATGCCAATAGGAACATTAAGGGAATTTGTCTTATACTAGCTTTTTGGATTCAGAGAAATTTGTATCGTTTGTCTTTTTTTTTTTTTCCATGCCTCCATTGTGAGCAAAGTAGGATGGAGCTGGCTTCCACAATAATCCTCTCTTTTTCTCCTTGCAGGGAGCCATGCTTCCAAAGCCACGCTTCCTGCAGAAAACCATCCAGGAGCTGGGCATTGGTACCTTTCGTGACATTGCAATAGTGATAGACTCAGCTCCTGTCTACACAGCTCTGGAGATTTTTGTGGACCGCAGAGTCTCGGCGCTGCCTGTGGTTAATGAAAAAGGTGTGGGCAAATCTCTGGCTGCTTAGCCCATTTTTGCTATGCTACCTGAATTCTGACCCGCTTTCTCGCATGCTCAAGCACAGCTAATGCAGCTCTTCCTTTTGACAGAATCATAAAACTGAAAAGTACCTCAAAGGAAATCTAGTTCAAATCTCTTAAAGCATTTCAGATGGATGGCTACCCAGCCTCTGTTTAAAGACCTCTAGTAAGGGAAATATTTCACTTCATCAGGCATTCTATGTTACCAGTTGGCAACATTTACTAGGATTATTAGGAAGAAATTCCTCCTAGTTACCGTAACCTGATTTTACATCCCTATAGTTTCAATGCATTGGTTCTACTCCTGCCCTTTGGAGTGGCAAATACAAGCCCTATTCCCTCCTCTATGACAGCCCTTTAAATATTTGGAAGACTGATATCATATCTCCGCTCAATTTTCTCTTAAGGAATCCATTTTCTTTAAATGGCCCCTTAGGACTTACTTTCTACTCCTGTCACCATCTTGGTAGCCCTTCTCTGAACTTGTTGGAGTTTGTTGATGTCCTTTTAAACTACAGTGCTCCAAACTGGAGATGGCATTCAAAATGGGGTCTGCCTAAGGCAGAGTAGAATGGAACACTTATGGATTAATAGATTACAGTTAGCAGTTCTGCAGTTACACCCCCCCTACTAGTACCCCAGAATCTATTTGAACTTGGAGTTTTCTTTTCTTTTCTTTTTTTTTTGGCTTTAATTTATATGCCGCCCTTCTCCAGAGACTCAGGGCGGCTTACAATGCGTTAAGCAATAGCCTTCATACTTTTGTATATGTATACAAAGTCATCTTATTGCCCCCACAATCTGGGTCCTTATTTTACCTACCTTTGAAAGGATGGAAGGCTGACTCAACCTTGAGCCTGGTGAGATTTGAACTTGCAGTAATTGCAAGCAGCAGATGTTAATAACAGTGCTTTAGTCCACTTCTACTCCTAAATGAGAAAAGTAACCATAGGTACATCATGAAATTATGTAAACTGACCCAACTTGGTTCCCTCCAGAGGTGCTAAATACACAGCCTGTCATTCCCAAGTGGGTGACTCTAATCATGGCTAAGGTCCGTAGCTCTTGGAGGAAGGTATTCATCTTCAGCTCATACAAGCCCCTGAAACTGATAGCCATATTCTTGGAGACGCTGTGTGCAGTGGTGGGATTCAAATTTTTTTTACTACTGGTTCTGTGGGCGTGGCTTGGTGGGCGTGGCATGGCTTGGTGGGTGTGGCTTGGTGGGCATGGCTTGATGGGCATGGCAGGGAAAGGATACTGCAAAATCTCCATTTCCTCCCGATCAGCTGGGACTTGGGAGGCAGAGACTAGATGGGGGCGGGGCCAATCAGAGGTGGTATTTACCGGTTCTCCGAACTACTCAAAATTTCCGCTACCAGTTCTCCAGAACTGGTCAGAACCTGCTGAATACCACCTCTGGCTCTGTGCTGTCGTAAGCCAGGATAACTATGATGATCAGTTCTCCCACCATTCAGAGTCATCCATTAGGAACTCAAATGGTTTCTTCTTTTTAGCTGTCTCCAAAATTATGATTAGGTTTACATTTGAATTAATTGCCATAATTATGAGGTTTAGCTTGCCAATATTTTATTATCGCACATGGCAAAGTCAGTATCTTGTTACAATCTATTTTTCTGGCCCAGGTCCATCTCCTCTTTCCCTCCTCCTCTCAGTACAGTATTATACTGTATTTCTGGAGCTCTTCCAATTTGTTGCTGATTTATATTTGGGCTGCTCTCCCTTTATATTTACTTCCCAATATTATCGCATTTCATTATCCCTTTGCTTCCTGTATGAGTAATGATGCTGTGTTCAGGATATCCAGTTGTAGGCTAAATTGCTACAACGAGGGGTGCTAGAGCTTGAGGCTAATTCACAGCAGAAGTTTTTAACTTCTATATGTATTTGTATTTATTATGGCTGTTCACCGCCCTGAGTCCTTCGGGAGTAGGGCGGTATACAAATATGAAAAATAAAATAAATAAATAAATAAATAAATGAGAGCCAGTTTGGTCTAGTGGTTAAAAACATCAGGCTAGAAAGATGAAGATCTTAAGTTCAAGTCCTATCTTGGCTATTAAAATTAGCTGTGTGACTTTGGATCAGTCACTTTCTCTTTGCCCAATCCACCTTGCAGGATTGTTGTTGTAGGAGGAAGATGTGTTGGATTTGTTTGCTGCCTTGAATTATTTGTGAAAAATAATAATGGCAGGATACAAATAAAGAAAAATAAACAACCCTATGGATCTTTACTTAAAATGAGTCCAGTTAGTTCAGTAGGTCTTTTCAGCTACGCGACTGCAGTCTTAGTTTGGATTTAGGCTTATCACTTTAAGATAGAGACATGTTTCAGAACAATCTTTTGGGACTTTTAACACCATGAAAAATAAAGTTGGCCCCACTAAATGCTGACATTATCAGGTAAATAGAGGAGATCTTTTGTCATTTCATGATGGAATTGCAACAAAACTCCAACATTTTGCATGATGGTGATTAATTAGATGCGCAGTGATAATTTAATTAACATGCCATTTAACCCTTTTTAAAGCTAAATTAATCCTTAACTTTGTTAATAGTTGCTAAGATCCTATTTGACAAATACTGAAAAAAGAAATTCCTTCATAAAATATACAGTAAAGATAACTTTTGGTTAAGTTGGTAATGTTAATTTTCCATTCTTAGCTTCAAGCTATAAGGCAGGCCTGGACATTCATGATGAAATTGTGAAAGCATGTTCATTGTCAGGTTCATTGCAGGAAAATCTGTTAATCTTTTCTGTGATAACTTTCATGCATTGGAAGCTTTAATTCATTACACCTGGAGAGATTCCTGAACCGCTGTTCCCTTCTGTTTCTTATGCAGGAACGGTAGTTGGACTCTATTCGCGCTTTGATGTAATTGTAAGTATGGGGCAGTTATTCTTCCGGGCTCTGATAAACACAAGTTCTGTATTTCCCCTAAAGGAAGTCATTTGCAGATTTAAGATTTGCCCCATCCCCAGCTATAGAGTAAATTTTTAAAAAACACCTTTCTTCGCCATTTTATTTTTTTTTGCAGAAAAAAGACCCCTTAAGATAACTCTTACTTTAAAGATAAATTATTTGGGAATGAAGTTTTTGGATAAATACACTAAGAAGGATTAATCTGGCAAGATACAAAATAAAACTTGTATGTTTATATGATGGGGAAACAGCAATTCTTAACTAATGGTAAGAGAAAGGTATATGTCCTTCCTCTTTAAGACAGGAAAAAACATTTAACTAACTCCTGCATTTTAGAGAAGCAGTGCAAGAACAATGCCTCCAGATGAGGCTTCTCTTATTGTCTGTCCCATTCATGGAATTCTAGAGTGATCTAGATGAATAATCCTTTTACTAAGGTAAATTTATTTCCATAGAATATTTGTTATACAGTGACCCGGTTCACTTATCACAGTAGATTATATTATTTTGAGTTTAACTGTGACTTATCATGTTGGATGAACCCAGCCATTGAAGTCCTAAAGCTGTCAGGTGTGATTTAAAATGTTAGAAGCCAGCCAATCATAGTTCGTGTAATAAACCATAGCTAAGCAAACCATGGCTCAATGTGACATATGAGTGTATCTAGAATTAGTGTGTCAATATGAAATGCCTGTGCTTGCAGGGGTGTCAAACTGGCAGCCCGCTGCCGAATGCATCACATGCAGGCCATGCCCACCCCAGCTCCACAAAGGCAAAAAATATCACAATACAGCACATGATGTGACACCTGTATGCTAAGACCTTGCTTCAAAGATTTTGAAGTGTGTCTCAGCTTAATAGTGTGTGTTCATGGTAGCCATACTGCAGTAATGCCCTACTCCCTCTTTCCTACAAACTCCTCCTCTCTACTTGCTCTCCATAGCATTTGGCTGCCCAGAAGTCTTACAACAACTTGGACATTAGTGTGGGGGAAGCCCTGAAACAGCGCTCGGTCTGCCTAGAAGGGGTCCTTACATGCTATCCCTATGAAACTCTCGAAGAAATCATTGATCGCATTGTCAAAGAGCAGGTATGGGTAAATGCATGTCCTTCCTTCCCTAGATGTCTTCAATATGTGTGCCTCCTTCAGATCCAAAGCCTTTTGCTTACTAGGTCATGGCCGATGTATGGTTTTAATCATCCTGCCACCTGTCCTCTTACTTTTATTGGACAAGTGTTCCGGGAGCAATCTAGGCTCACCTAGCCTGCTCTTTTTCATATGGAAAAGTCTGTGACTACAAACAATAGACAAATGGATGGGTGTGTTTTGGGTGCTGCAGATGGACCTTTATTTTACATTTTGTAATATCTGGACTTCTAGCTTTTATTTTTGTTTCCTGGCAACTGAAGAAGATTTAAGCTTAAAGATTCGAATTATGGCATTATTGTTATGGTTGGTTGCAGTCAGTCAGATGTTTAGACTGGATTTGACGTTTTATCTGCCTATTGAGTCCATCTCAAGTACCTGGAATAGACAGATGCGATTATTGTAAGCTACTTAGAGTAGTTCCACAGCGAGATAGGCAACAAATAAATGTAACAATAACAACAATAATAATAGGTTGCAAATACACAATAAAGCAAGATGCCATGATAAATCCAAACTCATATGGTGAAAGAATCTGATTACTATCACTATTATTTATAGCCCTTATGAACATCTTGTAAGTAGTGGTAGTGCTTTATTACAGATATTTGAGTAGCTCAAAAACAAAAAGAAAACAAATTGTGAGAAAGGAAATAAAAACCACAGTAAAACCCAGTTATAAAGCTGGTGACAAAACATGGTGTGTTTTACAAATAATAAAACAAAACTCAGCCATTTTAAAAGAATTGAATTAATGGAATAAAATATCCTTGATTGGAGTGTAATCTATAAATAAAATGGATCCAGATGATTCGCAAGTTTGTCTTTTTTTAGTAACATGGTTGTTAAGTGAATCTGGCTTCTCCATCGACTTTGCTTGTCAGAAGATCATAAAAGGTAATCACATGACCCTGGGACACTGTAACTATCATAAACATGAGCCAGTGGTCAAGACTCTGAATTTTGATCATGTGACCATGGAGATACTGCAATAGTTGTAAGCAGGGGTGAAATGCTCCCGGTTCGGACCAAATCGCCCGATCCCGTAGCGATGGCGGCGGGTGGTTCGGAGAACCGGTAGCAAAAATCCCTGCCCCCCCCTTGCCCAGCTGAGCCGCGTGATCATCAGAGGCTTTTTAAAATTATTTTTAAAAGCATTTTTTCTACAACCTCTGCAGCAGAAAAAATGCTTTTAAAAGTAAAAAAAAAAAGCCTCTGATGATCGTGCGGCTCAGCTGGGATCGTCAGAGGCTTTTAAAAGAAAAAAGCCTCTGCTGATCAGGCAACTCAGCTGGGATCGCCAGAGCCTTTTAAAACCATTTTTTCTACAACCTCTTCAGTGGGGGGAAAAAAAATGGCCACGCCCACCCAGTCACATTACTCCCCCAAGCCACGCCCACAGAACTGGTAGTAACAAATTTTAGATTTCACCATTGGTTTCTAAGTATCAAAAACAGTCGTAAGTCACTTTTTTCAGTGACATTGTAACTTTGAGCAGTCATTAAACACATGGTTGTAAGTTGAGGAGTATTAGCCTCGAGGACCTGTATTAGCTCCAGCTGGGATCCTTATAATGAGAGCAATATAAGAAAACATGGGATAATGTTTCAGGAACTCCTTCACACAGGGACATTCTTTTTAAAACAGTGTGATTGGTAACCCTACAACTTGTTTTAGAAAAGAGCACGCCATGCTTTCTTTTAGCCAAGTGCATCTGCTCTTTTCCAGGTCACTGGAGATGACAGTAATGCAATAAGGCCCACCCGATACTCCACCATATGTATTTGTATATACTTTCCCCCTACTTTTCGCACAGAGCGCTTTAATCCCTAAAAAGGCTGTACATAAACACTGTAATTTCACTTCTGTAAATGGCATCTTTTCCGTCTGGTATCTAAAACTCATCTTTACCCTCCTATTCCTACTTTTGCCACCTACTCGTTGGGTAGGTCCATCGCCTGGTTCTGGTGGATAAGAAGAACACTCCACGGGGGATCGTGTCCCTCTCTGACATTCTCCAAGCCTTGGTGCTCACACCCGCAGGTATCGATGCCCTAAACTCTTAGCTGGTCGACGCTCCATCCTTCTTCCATTTGTACCCTCCATTTCCTCCACTTCTCTCCAGCTCAGGTAGGCCCCAGGCCTTGGCCTCTCCAGCCTGTTTCCTGCTGCTGCTGCTGCTCATTTTTTTAAAAACTTGCTGCTGGGTTTCTCATGTCCATCTGATCAAGCCAGGTCTGTATTTCTACTCCATCTAGCACCGTTCTCCTGGCTTGGAAGGAAAGCCGGTGCACTGCAGTGGAGTTATAGGATCAATGTAGAAATTTTTGTGGGGGAGCGGGCAGCATTGATTCAAAAAGACAAAATCGCACTTTCTAATTTTATGATAATGGAAGGATTCCAAAATTAAATGTAAGCTTTTAAGTTCGGTTGCTTTTCTTTTAGCCTTGTGGATTTTCTTGTATTCATTTTCTGATCGCATTAATGCACACTGATAGGCGCAGGGATTTGTAGCAAGTGAGATAATTAAGGGTTTTGGATTGTTCTGCTGAAGGCAACAATCCAAGCAGCAATGTATCAGGAAAAGTAGTTGTGTGTGTGGGGGGGGGGCAGAGTGAGAGCGAGGGAGAGCGAGAGAGGATGTGTGTGAGAGAGATTTGTTTATTTCTGCCTAGTACTAATAAATTAGTTGCATATTCTATCCATTTCTCAGTAACAGAGGAAATTACAGCTAGGAAAAGAAGCCATGAAACCTTCCAACTTCTTCCTGGAAATTCCCACTAATGCTTGGTGCAGAAGTTCCCACTAATGCTTGTATTGCATAGCTCTGGACAATCTTGGCTGCCTCTTACTTGTGAAGCAGTGGTCCCCACAGGAAACATTAAAAAAGAACGCCTAATTCTTTTAAGAAATTTGCATCATTTTAGCTGCAAGGGTTATCATGAGAATTTGGCCATGTGGATATATATATATATAAGCTGCCCCACCAGAAAACCATTTTTTGCCTTGTTCCACTGTGCTTGATTTTGAATGAGCCTGACTGAGCCTTTGACTTGGATTTCTTGCTGCTGCCACCAATCCAAAGCTAGCGATATTTGTGCCTATCTGCATTTGTGTGCTCAGCTGGCTGGCATAGATTTGAATACACAATTTGTCTATTAGTAACAATTCAGCTGGCAATTCCCAATATGTTCTTCTACTTTCCCAAATGTCAAAACTTCTAGACCTAGAGATGAGGGCAGTTTTTATGGATTTCTCTAGGAATATGCATTCTTTCTCTTTTTTTAAAAAAAATAATTTTTGTTTAGTTTACAATTTTTATTAGTTGATAATAGAAAATACAAAAATACAAATGCATACTTTCTCAAGTACAAGGAAAAAGCATGGATAATGCTGCTTAAGCATAATCCTTTCTTTATAAACATCCTTATTTGAAAATGTCCTTATTAAGCTTTCATTCTGTATTCCAACACAATGCTCAAAAGAGAGGTAAAATTAGGAAGGCTGTAGCAAATGTCTTTCTCAGTCTCCGAGTTCCTCGTGGATTCACAGTTTAATGAAGTCAGCAACAGTTAAGTGATGCATTTAATTAAGGCAAAATCTAGGACTGTAGCCAATATTGTTGATTGGAAACTGTGCTCTGATTTTGAGTGGACTAGCTGTAATTATAGGTGATTTTATACTTGCAAGTTGTCACATTATACTTGTTTTATGTTAATTCTGCTGGAGCACTGTAATGACATTAAAGCAGAACAAAGTCAGCTTGCTCAGTTCCACTTCATTTTTTAAAACCCAAAATTCCATCTTTCAGAATCTGGAATGAAAGATAAATCCCAGAGACCTGTCTAACAAAACCTTATACTTAATTTCCTGGAAGTGCTAATTAATACTGTAATAGTGACTTAACTACGTAAACTTTTTATTTGTTAATACAAATATATTTTATTTATTCTAAATAAATAAATAAATGTAGGTACTATAAACTAACGTGTGAAGGAAAAAAAAATTGCCTTGCTGCAACTGTTAGTCAGAAACTCTTGCCAGTCCCCTGCAAATCATCCAATAACCTATAAATACTTCTCCCAATCTTCCTTCGATCTGCTCCTGCTTTACTATAAACTAGCAATTCATAATAAGTAGACCAGATCAGGAATTGAACTCTGCAGAAAAACCAGCACTGTATTTTATTGAGATTGACTGTAATTAAAAGAATCTTGCAAGCCTGCTTGTATTTTATTGCCTCTTACCTACTTAATTAGGCCTATCCAAGCCTCTTCCAAATTCAATCTTGCTTCTCAGGACTTAAGAAATGTTTCAGCCCTCTTTGCTTACACAAAAGTTATTGCCTATTTCCCTTGAGGGCATCTTCCTGAATCCTGACTCTGTACACCCTGTAATCATTGTTTGCTCTTAGTGTATTGCTTTTAGTATATCAAAATCCAAGGTCATTATCCTCCTGTGACTTTAGTCTCAAAAAAGTACTTCCTAATGAGCGGATCAGCAAAGCAGATTATTTTTAAATGCGGGGGCATATATGTACTTGAAGATACCATTGTAATATCCTGGCCTGCATTCTCCCTCAGAATTGTACTTCTCAGAAAAACCAGGTAGGGTCTGTCCGGTGGGATATACTCCTTGCACTGTTTCTCAGAAGCTTCATGTCACTTCAGTAGCCAAAGAGCAGCAAAGGACTGGCTCATTTCCCACCAGATAACATTAAATTTTATGAATTCCATTCTGCAGGCATCAACCGCTATTCCCTCTGACAGTGTGCAGGACTACTTGCTCCTTGATCTACTGCTACTGCATCTTTGGTTCGTGGGGGCCAGGAAGAGAAGCTCTAACAGCGATGAAGAAGACCTAGCATCTCAAGAGCCAACACTGGAGCCCTGACTGCCAGTTCCTTCCTCTCAGTGAACCAAGAAAGTTGAGAGGAGACCTGAGGGAGGACAAACGTTCTAACCTCAGAATTGCTAATGGAGATGTCCCTTCTTCGTCCCATAAACTAATATAAGGAACCAGTCTGCTACAAAGGGGGGCCGGAAGGAGAGGTGTGCGTCTTGAACAATGCGTCCATTGCTTGCCTCCTCTTCTTGGCCTCACTTACTGGAAGAGATTGTATTTGAAAATTCAACGTGCTTCAGGGCCTCTTTTGCTTCTGCTGGAAAAAAAATTACTAGAGGCAATGGCTACTGCCTTAGGATAAAGCCTAATCCAAAAGGTTCTCTAAAGACAGATTCCACACCTTGAAAAGGACTAGGTTGAGCTGCTTTAGAAAAACATGCAGGCTTTTTTTCTTAGTTCTTAAAATAGGCTCATGTCTTTGCTTTATTACATTGCACTTGCAAGGCACAAGACATGCCTAGGATAATTATTGTGAGGTAGACAGGGCCCTTAAGTTTGTACACTTTTAGGCACTTATTCAATGCATTTTGCCCCATTCTAAAACATAATAGTGTCTTATCAACAGGAGAGATGGTTTTACTGCCAGCGATTCATCTTTCCTCTTTAAGCCTGCAGTATAAATCAAAGCTTTGTTTTTGTGCAACTGTAGCACACGGTAAGAAAGGTTGTGCCAGGTTGGACACAACTTAATGTGAGAGAACTTCCCTCCAGGTCGGAATACAATTTTTGCTCTTATTGCTATCACATTTGGGGAAATAAATCTTTCACAGTGCTACCCCTTTTATATAGGATTATATTTCCATTTTCCAGCAAGTGGTGCTTGGTTATTTAAGCAAGGACTAATGGCTGCCTACCTGGAATGCTACTACAGGAGATTGACCTTAGATATAGTAGGTAGTCCTCGACTTATGACTGTAATGGAGCCTGCCAATTACTGTTGTGAATCATGATTGTAAAGCAGGTCATGACGTGACCAACTTGATTTTAGAGTTTTGTCCTTGCACTGTCCATTAAGCAAATGCCATGGTCATTGAGTAAGCTCATGGTTCACTATGATGCATTTTTGCCGAAAATCGGAACTAAATGCTGGTTTTTGGCAAAAATATCATAAATTGTAGGCATGTGACTGCAGGACACTGCAAATGCCCATAAATATGGGCCACTTTCCAAGTGTCCAAAATGCAGTCGTGTGATCATGGGAGGGCAGTCATCAGAACTTCAGAACCGGGTTGTAAGTAACTCTGGGGAAGTCTGTTGTAACTTCAGTCACTATGTGACCAGTTGCAAGTCAACGACTACCTTTACTCCTGAAGGACCCTTTTAAATCTTCTACAATTTAAGACTCAATATTGTCCTAATCCACTCCTTGTCCTAAACCATGTTGACTTAACCACTGCTTATTTCATAAACCACTGTGGGGCAACACCAAGAAGTCTAAATCTTATTGCTGGAGATGTGAACTCTGCACAGAGGCACTCTTCAAGCATATGAGGAGCAGGACTAAACAGCCCTTAAAGCATTTAGATGAGAAAACTTTCTGGCTAGTAAAAGCCTATACGACATAAAGGTGTGGAGTCTAGTTATCAGTTCAACACCACTGCTAAGGCAAATTTGGATCGGCCCTACTCCTATGGAGAGAGTTGAGCATGCAGTGAGTGACAGTAGCAACACTCAGGAGTTGTCTAAAGAATATATAAACTATATTCTTATATATATATTACTTATATATTACTTTAATCTCCTGGGCAGGTATGTACCTGCATGACTTCCAAAAGCCTTTCTTTAAAAGGGAATAATCTACAAATAATCCATAACTGAAGAATGGTTTCAGTGAACACTTTTTGAGTTCTCCAGACTTCTCTTTGCATCATTTGGGGCAATAGCAGAAAAGCCCCCATATTAAGCTAACAGCTGTAGTCATGAGATTTGAAATTAGTGGCTTTATCTTAGTGCCATACAGTACCTCATATTAATGCCTCATTCAAGATTGACATCCTTTATTCTCTTTGCTAGCCTGAAGGATGTGCATTTAATCCGAGGCAAAATTCAATTTGAAGGTCCTGTCAGATTTTAATTTTCAGAAATGGCTGCTTTATCCCATTGTACATAAGGTATCCTCTGCTGTCTTACAATAAGGTCCCTAAGTCTAGTTTAACTCAGTTCTTGACTGAGTTGATCCCACAAAATTTTCTCGTCAACATTTGCCATGATAATGTTTTTCAATTTCCTTATTTGACTTGAAGCCTAGTCATTTCCTGATGTCCTCAACTGAGACTTATGTAATAATTGGGGGATAATTCTATTTCAGATTGTCTTCCTTATTCCCTGCTTAAAAACAGGATTAAGAGTACCAGAAAATCTGAGGACATATTATGCTCTCCAAAGAAAATACATTGCCTAACTGTGGATTTTGATTTTCTTCCCAGACATCCCCCGTCATGCATGAGCATTGGCATTTTTATTTTTCTACAGTATATCCCATGTAAAGAAAATCTGCTTATTCTAAAGAGAGTCAAAGGCTTCCTTTTGTCCAAGAAGTTTAGTTTTCTAGCGCAAATCTGCAATAAAACTGATGTTCCTTTGAAAAAGCTATGCCTTCATAAAATTTCTTGCCTTCAGTTACAAGGATCACTAATTTTTTTCTCTTTCCTCACCCACATTCCCAACACCAGATAATATCAAATTCTGCTATAAATATATAATAGATAATAGGACCAAAATGTACAAAAGTGAGCGTATTTTTGCCCACCAATCAGATTCCACCTATTGAATCTGCTGATTGCTATAAGTAAATTGACCAAAAAACCAGATCTGAACATCTTCAATTCACCCACAAGTCCACAATGGAGACATCAGTAGTATGATAATCAAGGACTATCATTAGTTCACTCCACTCTTTTGTCAATCCCTAGTTATGGAAAAAAGGGAACCATGATTTTCTTCAGGAAGGAGATCAAAAGTCTTCCACTATTAAGAAATAATGATGGATGATTAAATATTTCTGAGCTGTGGGAACTCCGCTTGAAGTTGGAAGGAGGCTTGCTGGAGAATGCAAGACAAGAATGATGCAACCACCAAGTGATGAGCACACCCTTCATTAGCAATCAGAAGAAATGGCCACCTTGAGTAGCTTCTTATTTTGGAAGCGGTAAGAATCTCCCCATCTTTTTGGCATGGGAGACATTCCTGTCAGAAGACAAGAATAAAAAAAATAAACCAAGAATGAACATGTCCTCTACAATCATACAGTTATTCCACTAATAATGGTACTGCTGGCAGATCGAAAGAGGTCAAATGCAACCCAATGAATAAAGGTTTGGCACTGGATGTGAAGGGACACATTTTATACAGTGAGCCTTAATACTGAGTGTTATCTCACCTTTTCCAGTATGGTTTGATCAATGCCGCCATTCCATTACATCTAGCCAAGCTTTACATTATCTTTTAGTGTAATACTCACAAAGGTGGCAAAGCTGTGCCCATGCAGTTACGAAGCTTGTTTGGAAAGCAGGCATTTCCTGGACTCAACTGGACAGTGCTGGCCTCTGGGGAAACAAGTGGATGGAAAAGCTGGTCTATGCTGGTCAGGGAACATTAGGCTCATTCCCTTAACATGCTTTTCAAGATGATCAAAACAGCAATGTTCCCCATGCCTTATATTTGAATTAACTCACCTTGTTCATTCATTACAATGGGCTGATGTACTGATGGGACCAGGTTTTCTTGCTCTTCTTCTATAAAATGCTTCCAAAATTTGAGTGGCAATGCTAGGAGATGGGAGACGACCTATAGAAAGGAAATAACATCAGCCTCTGTCTCCCTCCTAATTCCTTCCCCTTCTTTTTCTCTCCCCCTTGGTTCTTTAGCTGACACATATCTCAAACTATATGATTAGATATAGATATAGATATTGTGCTTTCCTCACACAAGCACGAAGCCGAAGACATTTGATCATGATAGAGAGGAATAATACAAATAACCACCCAGAGTCACATCAACAGAGAGATGGATGGCATTTAAATTTAATCAATGAATTATTCAAATAATGCTCAGTGAAATCTCAAAAGCAAAAAAAGGAAGTTAAGAAGAATATTCACTATAACCCAGCTACCAAGTCTTGCCTTCTTCTCACATTTAAAAGAAGCTATATTATCCCAACCCATCCCACAAGAGATAAGTTATTACCATAACAAAGGAATCAATCCTATAAAATCAGAAGCATTTCTGATAAAGACTGAGCATTGTGCAGTGATGAGCTACTGAAAGCTGAAAGAAATTGGAGAGAGGTCACAGATGTTACCAGGAACTGGCGTGGTGTGTCTTCCATAATGGCAAGTGGGCTGGGGCTGGGAGTGCTGTGTCCGACTAGCGGTGGTCCAAAGATACGTGCCAAGTTATGGCGGTCCATTCGACAATCGGGGCTTTGCATGACCCTATGAATGGAGATATGGATCCATGGAAACAGTAACCCATACTAAAGCAATAGCATTTCCGCTGCATATCATTAGCCATTCCTAATATTTTTTTTTTTTTAATTTGATTTATATGCCGCCCTTCTCGGAAGACTCAGGGCGGCTTACAATGTGCTCAGCAATAGCCTTCATCCTTTTGTATATTTATACAAAGTCAGCTTATTGCCTCCACAACTGGGTCCTCAATTTACCTACCTTAGAAAGGATGGAAGGCTGAGTCAACCTTGAGCCTTGGCGAGATTCGAACCTGCAGTAATTGCAGGCAGCTGGTCTTAATAACCAGCTTAATAACAGGGTGCCTTAAACCCCTGTACTACCAAGGCTCTAATATGTGTATGTGATGGGAAAAGCTGTTTTACACACTACAGTGAAGGATTTGAATTAACACATGAAGCCCAGTTTAGTTCAAGGCTAGTATCTAAACCTAGAAATCTTTCCTTTTCCTTTAGAATGCTGAAGGTATCTACAGTCTGAATGAAAACCATACTTTTGCGATAGGAGATCATGAAGTCTGAATGAGTTTTAAAACAGTTATAGGCAGTTACTGTTTAGTGATGTGTCACTTAACAACCATTTGAAATTATGACTGCCTCTGAAAGGGTAAAGCACTTCTGGCTGCCATAAAATGTTGTGCTGCCCCCTCCCCGTCCAATCATGTCACTGCAATTTAGGCATCTGGCAGTGCTTTACAGCCCCTCTCTAAACAGTTTACAGAGTCAGCATATTGCCCCCAACAATCTGGGTCCTCATTTTACCCACCTCAGAAGGAAGGAAGGCTGAGTCAACTTTGAGCCTGGTGAGATTTGAACTGCCAAATTGCAGTCAGCCGGCAGTCAGCAGAAGTAGCCTGCAGTACTGCACTCTAACCACTGCGCCACCATGGTTCATACTGTATATAGTAGGTATAGTAAATAACAACTATGCTTCAATGTAATTTCAACAACTATAGTCATGATGGCAGGAAAGTTCGAGATTTCATTTCAGCAAATCTAGAAAGCAAAATATTGGGATAGGCTCAACTAGATGTTGTGACAGCTTCTGTGAGCAACTGCTTTCACAAGGAAAAACAAGTTTTAAAATATGGCTCTCTGCCAAGTAGTTGTGCTAGTGCTTGGCTTTAAAAATGTGTCTGATGGGGAGGAACATATATCATTACAATCTTAACCATGCAATCCCTCTCAATAAAATTACAATTATGAAAATAGCTGCTCCTGCATTACAGATTGAGCTAAATAAGCAGTGTTGTTATTCTTCTGGCAGGACAGACAAAACACCTGTGCAAGTTCGTGTTCCAGTTATTTTGTAAAAGAAGGTGATTCTACCTCCATTGAAGAACTTGAAGCTTGTGGATGACAGATGCAAGTCGGCAGAAAATGTTCTAATTTTTCTTTTTCTGCATCAAGCAGGAAACTGGACTGGGTGGCCTGGTCTCTCCTAGCTCTCTGATCCTAAGATTTTCCTTTCCAAGCTTAAAATTTGTGCTCACCTATGCAGATGGAGCATGAGAAACGCTAGCGTGTCTCTATTAGTCAGGGGCAACTTCATGACAACGCGGCAGAGTTCAGTATGGCAGGCAGATTCATCCAGAATTTCTGAGTGGAAAGAAACGGTGATGCAAATCCTTTATGCCTTTTGAAGTCATCCAGAGTGTTCAGCCATTTAACCTCACTCCTTTTTTCATGAATGACCCATTTTCCCTAATGAAACTAGAATCACTTAAGGCATAACACTAGAATCACTTAAGGCGTAGCACTCTAACTGTTCAGTGATCCAGGAAAAAACTAAAAGATTTCCAAGAATTGAGCAATGTCAGGTACAAGAAATCAGAACCAGGATAGACTTCAAAAAATACTACAGGTTTATTTCATGCTACCTGTACCCAAGAATATGGTGGCAGCATGTAAGTTTCTTGTTTCTGGAACGTTAACATATGGTCTACTAATGGTCAAGGTGAATTGGCACCAGAAAAGAGTCAACAGACTTCAGGGGGGTGGGGGGCTGGATTTAAGTCTCTTACAGGGACATAGAAACTCCAAACTGATGATGCGTTTGATCCAGGGGTGAAATGCTCCCAGGGGTGAAATGCTGAGCGGCGTGATCATCAGACACTGTTTTTTTTACTTTTAAAAGCATTTTTTCTACAACCTCTTCGGCTGAAAAAATGCTTTTAAAAGTAAAAAAAAAAAAGCCTCTGATGATCGCACAGCTCAGCTGGGATCGTCAGAGGCTTCTAAAAGCATTTTTTCTGCAACCTCTTCTGCTGAAGAAGTTGTAGGGAAAAAAATGCCTTTAAAAGCCTCTGGCGATCCAGCTGAGTTGCCTGACCGTCAGAGGCTTCTAAAAGCGTTTTTTTCTGCAAAAAAATGTTTTTAAAAGTAAAAAAAAAAAAAAAAGTTGGCCACACCCACCCAGTCACATTACCCCCCCAAGCCACGCCCACAGAACCGGTAGTAACAAATTTTAGATTTCACCCGATAGAAACGCCAAACTGATGATGCGTTTGACCCCTCCCTCACCCTCAGGCTCAGCCTGGTCATATCCTACATCACCCACGTTCCCCTTGGTCACTTCCACTCCAGAGCTTTATCTGAGAATCCCATCCCAATTTACCTGCTGCCTGCAGGAAGGCAGAGTGCAGGCAAAAGGTAACCAAAGGCTCTTTCAGATTCCTCAGGAAATCCTTGAGGATGCTACAGATCACATGCACATCAGTCACAAGGTCGAGGGAAGGAAGAGCTCCTTGGGCAGAGAGCAATTTGTACTTCCATTCACGCACGAGGGGTTCTGCCCCTGGCACTCTGTACAGTCCAGCCTAGAGGTGAGCAAAAAGACAAGAGAAATAATTACAAGGATGTGGAAAATCCACTGGAGTTGAACCTAGGCAATTGCTGAGTTACAATCAATGACATCAGTCAAAAATCAGAATGCTATCCCCTCAGAGAAGGGGAAGGTATCTAATTAAAGGAGAGAAGAAGTTATGAACATCCTAAAGAGGTTCCTAGCAAATGCAAGACAAAAACAAAAAGCAGCTGTTGAAGAGAAACAGGTTCATTAAATTCAAGGGCGGCGAAGTGCTGGATTTGATCCCTCAACGTACTTCAGAGCACAAGGGGGAAAATGCAACACCTGTTTGCAACTCTTTCATGGGGCTGTGTCTTCTCCAGAGATCATGCAGCAGAGGTGGGTTAAAAAACAGAACACGATCAGCAGCACTGAAACATGAAAAGGAAAAAGATGAGAAACTACATTAAAAAAATATAGAGCAGAGAGAGCGGGGCGGGGGGGTAAACCTCTCAGTGTTTAGAGAATTTGATATAGAGACCCACATTTTATAAACAACAAAACATCAATTGAAAGACTGTTTACATAGTCATCAGAGGGCAGGAGGCAGAAGCGATGGAGAAGGTCTAATAAAGGAGGGCTGATATAACACATGTTCTCTCAAGCAGAGTAGACAATTACTTCTTCTGGACTGAATATCACAGAACACGAAGCGTATGGTTTTTTTAAAAAAGGGGCTTTCATGATCAACATTTCTTCCCTTAATTTCCTAGGTCTTCTTGGTATGATCTTGTCTCTACAGCAGAATTTCCTTTGAGAAATGTGCTGCATTCAACTAGGGACTTTCATGCTACCTACGCAATGTTTACCAAAAATTATTCTCATAAGTAAGATATTCACAGTAAATTGGTTCATCCAGATTATATTACTGGTATATAGAAGCATTCCTTGGGGGTATTTTTTTCCCACTTTTGTAAACTATCTAAGCAAGGATGAAAAACTTAGTTTCTGTGAAAGAGGAAAACCATTTATTTAGGTTTGGAAAAGAAAGCTATGATAAAGGGAAAAAATCCCATTGCTTTGATTTTCAATAATGGAGGTATTGCTAATTCCACTGATCTACAATAGATCCCTTTCTCCTTGTATTCTGTAGAAGAAAACAACATTCAATAAAGCTATAAATATTTTTTCCAATGTTCTGAAGCCCACTAAATAAAGTTGTTTTGTAATATTTTGTAAAATTTGAGACCATCTCAGGAAAAAAAAATGGGCAAGCTTAGAGTCTCACTGTTTGAATGTTCTGTTCTTTCCCATCACAAGATGGGAGGGGAAAGGACCATCACAAGATAAAGACAGTTTATTCCCTGACAGGAAGAGCATATTTGACTGGTACCTCTCAGAGGCCTGATACTTCAAAGCCAAAAAATACGCAATTTATTTTCAAAGAAAGTGAATTACTCTATCATTCCCATTCCCCCCCCCCCAGTTAAACCAGACAGCAAACACAAGTAGATGAACTCATTCTATTTTGTTGTAAGGCTACATTAACTTTAACATTGCAAGTCTGAAGGCACAAATTTCCTGCCTCTACTTTAAACTGCTTGATTCCTTAGGGTGGGTCCTTCCTAAGTTTCCTTCTCTGACCATTAAAAGTACTGCAACGTCCTGCCTCTCTTGTCTGCATTTCCTTGCCGCATTCTCCAAAGGTCACCCGTTACATTAGGTACAGTTAACATGATTCTTCTCTGTACACATATTTAATAATTTCTACTCCCTATTACATTAAAAATATACCATTTGAGAACATGGATCCCATATACCTATTGGATCCAAAGGGCTAACCTAACTCTAACTCTATATTCAGATACCCTAGCTCTATATTCAAATAGCTACAGCAGAGAATTCAGTAAAGATTTTAAAAAAATCAACAGGGAGTGGGAATTATCTGCAGAGCAAAGCAAAGACTATATAATGAACTGAAGTTCCATCAACATTTCATAGCTTATTTTTGCCCACCTTTCCTCTGGATTCCACTTACCTCTTGCAGGCCACGTTTCTCGATTTGAACCACACACTGAACCACAATGGGGGGCACCAGAGGTGGCTTGGAAGGTGCAAAATCAGCTAGTATATCCTAGGGAAGAGATGGGGCAGACTTCAGAGACCTCTTTGCATCAGATCTCAATTCCCAAAACTGTTTTTTTTACCAAGGCAATGTCTCCCCTCCAAATGGAAGAATCGGGGAAATAAAAACAAATTCAAAGATATGCTGGGGTTTTGCCATCAGGTGGCAGCACTTAGCTGACCTTGGATAATCTCAAAGAACAATAAGCAACTAGGAACTGAAGATCACCTGGAAGTTCTAGGGCTGCAAAAGGAAGCAAATTATTGAGGAAAACAAAACACCCCTGATAAACGGCTTTCACATTATTGCCAAGGTAGCTGCAGAGTTCATGTAATGACCAGAAGTTAAGATTGGCTTGAGGATGACTTTACCATTTGAGGAGTTTCCTCACCTTTTTCACTCTGGAGTGGGCACCTGGCACACACGGCGAGGGACACTGTTCTTTGCACTCTGGATGCATTAGAAGCTGACACGAACGACATTTCAGTGCCATCCTCCCGAAGCGCAGGCGGGATTTGCAAACGACACACCAGTCCAGACGAATCACCTTGGACAGAGGACAAGAAAGAAGATGAATACAGCACAGGAAAAAGAAGATGGCATTGGGCCCCTACAGCTCCGGCTATTTCTAAAATAGACAAATCTAAACTGTAACCTTGCCCTTCAGCCCAATATTCTCTTTCTTTGAAATCTCAGAATGTTCGTGTTCTCTACACTTTGGAGAAAGCTGTCGAAGGAAAGCCTAGTGGAGTTTTACTTGTGAGCAATCCTTAAGTTACCCCTGAAGTAACACAGGTCTTAAAGCCAAGCTACACATTACCTTAGCTGTACAGTTCTGAAAGTGAGTAGACATTCCCCCACCCCCCAAAAAAATGTTAGCATAGAGACAACCTGGAATGACTGTAATAGGGAAAATTTGACAATCCTAGAGCAGGCCAAATTCCAAAATGTCAGGGAATTTCTAGAAGTCTGGCACTCTGACAAATAGACCATCAATAGACATTAACAATATCTATATATTATGCAAAACAGACGATCACCCTGCCCAAAAGAGAAAAAGACTCCAGCCCCTCTCCACCAATAATCAGCCCACAGATCATGTTAGATTTAACTCCAAGGTCAACTTCAGACCAACAATCTATTAAGCAATACCCCAATCAAGAAACTGTCAAAGAGCCATTATTAGTAAATAGCCCAACCAAAGAATCTCTAAGACCCCACCCACACATACAGGCAAGACACCAGAATATAAACTGATAGCAAACAGCACTCCTTACTACGTAGCACTGATGATGTTACCTAGTTAGGGTAATGAAACGTCGGCAAGAAAACAAGCAAGCACAGAGTACACCAAGGAACCCTGACTGTAGTGGTTTAATTCAGGTTTTTCAAACTAGGTAGGGTTCTATGAGAGGCTAAAGGGAAAAAAGATTTAATTGAACATAGAAAAATGGCCATGATACAATTGGCTAAGTGAAAAACAACCACATCCCAGTCACTAAATACTGATTTGCTTGGTTAAAAGATTAACCTTCAAGCAATTGGAAATTCATGTTGGAAACTCTAATTCTGCATTGCAATAAACAGATTACTTTTTATTCTTAAAATAAGTGGTTACCATTTTGGAAGCAAATTGGTGTTGCTGGAGTGGTGGCATTCCCGATGAATGAATGAAGGCACCAATAGTTTCCCTGGAGGTAGGTCCAATGGTCTTGCTTCCAATCTGGCTATTTTGTCTACCAGATTCATCAGTGCTATTCCTGATAGAAGTGAGCTCTGTGAAGAAAAAGTTCCACATTCAGTATGAGGAATATATACAAAGGGAAGACTCATCCTTCTATTCTACTAACTTTCTTCCAATACTTGACTGAACCATGAATTAGCCTACATTTCTACCTCACATTGCCTATTTCACCGGAGACGGGGGAAGGGGAAGAAGCTTTGTGTTCAAGAGTCTCCAGCTAAGACCTCAGTGGAATTGCTCAATATGAACAAATAATGGTTAAGATGGAGAAAGTTCTTGAACCTTTCCCTTGAGCACTGAGGAACACAGGGACAATTAAATTGCCAAGCAGCAGAGAAGCGAGAGGGTAGGCTGAATATTTGGCAAGATCTCAACACATGTATGAAGTCCAGGATCCCACCAGTGAGGTTGCCCAGGAAGGAGACCCAAACCACAAGCCCTTTCCTCCTGTGTATACCCACTGGAGTTGCAAAATTCTTAAGAGAACAAAAACTTTACACTTGAAATTGTTATTGGAGACTGACTCCTAAGCAAGGTTTACACACTGAACTAAACCACAACCTTTGGGTTTACAACCCATAAGTCACACAACATCTTTTTCATTGACAAGCAAATCATCTTGTGACTGAATGACATACAGTATATGAATTCCATCACAGATACGATTTCGAGTTTGGCTCTTTCTCTGCTTCTAGCTCAGATACATTTTCTTCCTTAAAAGGTGCTGAAATAGCAGAAGAAAAGCAGAGAGTACAAAAAAGCCTCTGATGCAACTGCTCTAAATTACACTTAAACAATAAGAGATTATAAACCTGCCCTTTCATATGCTGCCATTCATTGCTACAGTCCCTTGGAAACACCCATCAAATACAGATCAGAAGGAGGAGGTAATTTTCTTGCATAATTGTTAGACCTTCTGACAATGCTCTTTCACTTATCATACCTATTCAATTTCAATATGGGTCACCACAACCCCCCACCCCAAGGAACTGAAGGGGGAATGGACACCTGAGTGTGTGGAAATTGAACCATGCAGCTGCGGTTGACAATGGAGTGGTACAGCGCTGGATGATAAACTGTGGGCAAGGCTTTGTCTGCCACCACTGGCTCTAGGTCTCAAGGTCACCCGAGGTAATTCCTTCACCTGGCAAGAATTGGAAGGGAGGAAAGGAAAGGAGGACGGTATGTGGAAAAAAAGAAACATGCAGATCCTTATATACATAACAGATTTCATATGGGCAGAAACACAGGCCTGGGTTTAATTTAATCAGTGAGATGTATAGGCTTGCAGGCCATAGTTGCACAACATGTTTACATATTAGTTCAGATGATGACATAGCTGAACTTATCCAAATAAGAAAGACAAGGCTGAACAACATATATATGCAGGTAATGGCCTAATTAGAACTGACCAAATAAAGAAGTAGGGCACAAACTAACATGTATGTGTCTAAATTGAGTGGATGGAGTAGAGGTGAGGAACCAAGCTGATAAGAGCCAGGAGCCAGCTCTTGGATTATCTTGGAGGGAGCACAAAACTCTTATCGGGATAGATCAAATGGTTGCCAGAGAAACATTACAGAAGACTATAATGACAATCCCCAGGTGGACCTATAAGGATCAACCAATCACCAGGCTTGATGCTGAATGATGGCCTTTATAGCTTAGTGATCATACCAATCAGGATTTAAGAGGGCTCTCCTTTTCATTTGATCCTTCCATACCTTATTTGAGGTCATATTTAAGTTCCTGCTTTGCCACATCACATTATCTCATTTCTTTGCACAGCCGTTCAGTGAAATAGCAGGTTTAAGCTGGTAATGGCAAGAATAGCAGCTTACATCTTGAATACCTTCTCACTCATGCATCGATTGATGGATACGTACATTGTTAGTAAATGCTCCAGAATGCTGTGAGTGCTTGGCTGCTACCGCTGGCTGAACCAGGGGAGCCAGGGAGAGACGCTGGAAGGAAAAAAAAATTGTAAGCATGAAAGCCGCATGAGCTTATTACAGGGAACTATAAATGTTTTTTGTTTCTTCTATCCCACAAAACATTGGTAGGTGAAAAAATCGGGGTAGATGTCAAACTTTTCAGAGATTTGAAGTTAAAAAACATTGTGGTTGCACACATGTACATGTATAAAATTCTGCTTTCCCCCTGTCCAGCAATAGTGCACTTGTAAGCTGCTGAGAATTGTTTGATTGTTGCAGGAAACAAGACAAACAAACAAATATTCCGCCATGATATTTTTCACTTACCACTCTGTTTTTGCTTTTGATCATCTTTACATCCTTGAAGACAAAGAAACAAATAAAAAAAAAAGAAGCTTGAGGGAGGACATGTTACTTCACAAGTTACTTACAATAACAATCATTTCTAAATAAATCCTTCAAGTTTTGTTTTACACCATATATGCAGCATTTTGGAAGCACACAAAGATTCTAGCTACCTACCATCTTCAGACATTGATCAATTCCTTAGTATATTCACTGGCTCTAAATGGCACAAATTGCTTCCAATGGCTAACATACATAGGTGAGGCTTAATTTAATAGACATCACACATTCTGGAAGCCTCAATAAATAATTGTTTTTAATTTTTACTGTCTGGAATAATAACTGTTTTGAGTAAGTATAGTAATATTTATTTCATTTCACTTTGGCAGCTTACATTAAAATTATGTTGTTAGATGTAACCCATACTTGACAATGAAGTATACTGGAAATCAAAAGCGTTGAACTCAAGTAAATCAGTTTGAAAGTAAAATTATTTTTCCATTCCTAACATTCCAGCCTCATAAATCTGGATGAAAAACTCTTCCATCAACCTTCCTTTTCTCCCATCCCTAGTCTTTAGCCTTCTTTTCTATAATAGATACATGCCAGTTAATTTGAGATACCGGTAGAAGGGAGAAAGATTTGCATCATCATATTGCCATATTTCATATGTTTGGATACAGATCTGAGACAGAATTGGCAGTGCAATGGATTTTGGAGATTAGTATCATAATTAGTATCAAACACTAGAGCAAACTTCCCAGATCAGGTTCCCTTTCTTACATGTAGAATAAAGGATTATACTTATGGCCACATTAATGGGAATTCCTGCAGCTCCTGAACTGGCAGAAAATTGCATCAGTATAATCTGCACTTCTGTAAAGGAAGTGCTTTATGAACCAGACTTTCAAGCAATTCAATTCTTTACAGTTGTGTTACAATGCAACACAATGGTATATTCCTCTGGCTTTGTTTTCAGCTCCAAATAGTGTCACCAGTCCAGAGGTGGGTTTCAGCAGGTTCTGACCAGTTCTGGAGAACCGGTAGTGGAAATTTTGAGTAGTTCGGAGAACCAGTAAATGCCACCTCTGATTGGCCCCACCCCCATCTATTCTCTGCCTCCCAAGTCCCAGCTGATCGGGAGAAAATGGGGATTTTGCAGTAACCGTCCCCTGGATTGGGGAGGGAATGGAGATTTTACAGTATCCTTCCCCTGCCACACCCACCAAGCCACGCCCACCAAGCCATGCCACACTCACCAAGCCACACCCACAGAACCAGTAGTAAAAAAACTTGAAACCCACCACTGCACCAGTCAGTAGAAGCCATCCATCCCCAATCACTCTCCTTAATATGTAATGAGGTAGACTTGGGCAAACAAGGGCAGGTGCTTAGCAGGGCGGGTTTGGTGCCTAAGTGAGATTCCTGGTTCAGAGAAGCTCTGTGCCAGCCACCTGCACTTGAACTATTTCTGAATAAAATCTTCTGGAAGGCAGGTCCAAAACCCCAGTGCAAAAACTTAGCTTAACTGATTAGTCGATGGATAGAGGTGGGATGTGAAATGAAGCGGGAGGGAGCTTGCAGGCACAGAGAACCTGATAACCACGCCAATCTTCTGTCCCTCTATTTGAGTCCATCAATCAAATGGACTCTTTTTGGAGACAGATTTACCAGTCTGTAACGTAGGTCTCAGAAATCGATCATGTGTCAGATCAAAGAGACAGTGGGAAGATTACCAGGAGCATGAGGGGTATACTTTCTTCTATTTCACACCAGGGCCTTCTATTGCACCTGAAACCTCTCCCTCAAGCTGGAAGAAAATCTGGCAGACTCTTGTCAATTTCAACCCAGATCTTGACTATGCCAAATCTCTACCTGTTAAAAGGGAATAGCAGGGCCCATAAATAGTTGTGTCCAGGGACGTCTAAAAGTATGGCATGGAGCAGCAAAATGGTATTCACTCCTAGTAATAAAAACAGGAGAAAGCAGAGGCACACAAAAGCCCTTGGTCTTGTTAGTTTGCTTTCCCCCCGACATCGAAGTCTTGTGGCATCAAAGACTGGAACCACTCAGAATGTTGGGACTTGAGCAGCATATACAACAACAATGAGCCATGGTGGTGCAGTGGTTAGAATGCAGTACTGCAGGCTACTTTTGCTGACTGCTGGCTGACTGGCAGTTCAGTTCTCACTGGCTCAAGGTTGACTCAGACTTCCATCCTTCCGAGGTGGGTAAAATGAGGATCCAGATTGTTGGGGGAAATATGCTGACTCTGTAAACCACTTAGAGAGGGCTGTAAAGCACTGTGAAGTGGTATGTAAGTCTAAATGCTATTGCTATTGCTAACAACAATGATTATAAAAGTCTGTATATCAACAAATATCTTAGCTCCTATTCTCTCATAGGCTTTCTCCCATTCCATGCTTATTTCTTATTTTCTATAAGTAACAACATTTTAAGTCACTTTAAAATCAATTCTTATTTTAAATTAGTAAAAGATATGGAGGAGAATGGATCGAAAAACAAATATGGGTAATACATTGTGAATTAATTTAAAGTTAAAAAACTGAATAAGAGATGGAGGAATGGAGGAAAACATAAAGCTGGACAATAACTAAAACAAAATGCTATGAACCAGCTAAACAAATGAAGTTAGGAGTGGAGGGAAGCATGATTCTGGAGAACAGTGAAAGAAAAGCTGTGATCCAGTCTTACAAATAAGGTAGGAGTGGAGGAAAGCATCATACTGGAGAACAGTTAAAGCAAAACTGGGAACCAGTTAAAAATTAAAAAAAAAAGAGTTAGGAGTGGAGGAAAGCACGTGCTGGAAAACAGTTAAAGTAAAGCTGTGAACCAGCCAATAAATAGAGTTAGGAGTGGAGGAAAGCATACGCTGGGTAACAGATAAAGCAAAACTGTAAACTAGCCAAAAAATAAAAAGTTAGGAGTGGAGGAAAATATATCTGGAGATCAACTGAAATAAAGTTGTGAACCAGTTAAAAATAGGGGTTGGAGCGGAGGAAAGCATTGCTGGAAAGCAACTATTTGAGTTGTAAACCAGTTTCATAATAGATCTAGGAGGAGTGAAGGAGATAATGTCGGTGTGTGGTTAAGATTATATTGTGAACCAGCCTAAATAAGTAAGGTTAGAAGTGGAGAAAAGCATCGCTGGAAAGCAGCTGATTGAGTTGTGAACCAGCCAAAAAATAAACCTAGGAGGAAGTGGAGGAGATAATACTGGAGAATAGTTAAGCCAAACTGTGAACCAGTTAAACAAATAGAGATAGAAGTGATGGAAAATACCGCTGGGAAATAGCTACTTAAATTATGAATCAGCTAAATTCAGACTTATTAGTATTAGAGAACAAGCTTGAAGTAAACGAAATAAAGTATTTTGGGAGTAATAAACTATAGATGGAAATGCTGATTGATTTTGAAATGACTTTAAGAGAGGAGGAAAATATTCTTTGTCAAGATCATGGATACTAGCTGCCATTTAAGAGAAGTAGAATATAGATTTGATGTAATGGGTCTTAGAAATGAGAAATATATATGAAGTATTGGTTGTTAAAATGACAAAGATTTGGAATGGTGTTTGTTTGGAAATAATTGTTTAGAATTTTGGGTGATATAGTAGAATGACAAATGTTTAGAATAAGATTTTTTCTTTTCTTTTTCTTTCTTTTTTTAAAAGATGTAAATGGAAAAATTTGGAACAAAATTGGTTGAGGGAATGTGAGTAATTGTATCTATTTTATACCGGATCAAATCCTTGCTCTAAAAATATGTATTTTATGTTGTATGTTTAAAAAAAATAAATTAAAAAAAATGATTATAAAAGTCTGCAGATAACCACCTACTTTATCAAATGCACTGGTGCTACATTGAGAAGAAAAAAATTCTCTACACATCAGAGCCAGTGATTGAGATAGTTGGGAGTAGAACTGTGAAACCAGAGGTCAGAAAGAAATAAAACACAACACATAATATAAATTATGGCCATACACATCAGGCAGTTAGTGGCTGGAATCCAGGCTTTCATGCATGGATATGTTTGCTCACAGAATGCAATAAGAAACCTTGCTCCCTGCTTAATCCATGAAAAATCTATGAACAACTCCTGACGAATTTGCACCTCATTCTGTGGCGGAATCAATCCATTTATTTTGTGTTCCTAGTCTTCTTCCCTTCACACATCACACATCACATATGCATATTTCTTTTTTATAATGACACTCACTGTGTGCAATAGAGTGGGCTGCACTAATCGTAAATTTTCTTTGTGATCCATGTGTAGACTCTGATATCCTATTGGAAGGAATTCTTATATGTGCTACCATGCCAAGTGAACATTTTGGACAGAATAATAATTTCCCAGGAGACCTACTGCTAACACATCTCTCCAGCTTTGAAAAGCTTGGCAATTTTGGCCTAAGCCTTTTCATTTCTCCCATGTCACTCCAAAAAAAAAAAAGCATGAAACTTACCACTTCCTCATCCGAGTGGTCAAAACTGATGTCAGATAGAATCGAGGTACCAGGTTCTTCTATTGCACAGATTCCCCTGGGAAAGTACATTAGAATAGATGCAAAATGAGTATCTATTATCTATGTTTCATTTGTTTTCCCAGTCCCACTTAAGCACAGCTCAAATGATAATTATAGAATGATAAAATGCAATGAATTTGGTAATGCTACCCACTCCCACCCCTCCCCACTCAGGGCAGGAATCTTCTACTACAACATTCTTGACAAATGGCTACCTAGCTTCTTTCTTTCTAGGTTTCTGGGGTACACTAACAGGAATACAGATGCATGTGTATGTTTTAAGAGAATAATATCAATGGCCTGAGAATCTATGCTGAAATCAGACCTTCTTCCTCATGATACTTAGAAGAAATCCTGGAAAAGGTTTGGCCCCTGGCATATCCAGTGAGAATACTGAGAAGAACCAAGATAATAAAATGCTGGTGCTTTTTAAAGAAAATGCAGGAGTAACCCTATCACGTTTTGCTCAGTTATGTGCATGCGTCCAAGTAAATATTTCTAACAAGAAGTGGGCAGAACTACCTGTACATTTCTACTTGCTTCTCCTCTATCATCGAAAAACCAGGGAAATATTTTAAAAACATATTAAGCTAAAACATGACAATTGATTTTAAATTTATCAAATCTGTATAAGGTCCATTTGTTGATTTATTCCCTCTTGATCTCTGAAAATTTTCCTCCTTTGTCACTGGTACTTATTTTACAGAGTTGTACCAGAGATTATGGAGATAATCCATTATACCAATTAATTTTAATATTCAGAAAAAAATTATAACATAGCAATAGCACTTAGACTTATATACCACTTTACAGTGCTTTACAGCCCACTCTAAGCGGTTTACTGCCTATTGCCTCCAACAATCTGGGTCCTCATTTTACCCACCTCGGAAGGATGGAAGGCTGAGTCAAGCTTGAGCCTGTTGAGATTTGAACTGCCAAATTGCAGTCAGCCAGCAGTCAGCAGAAGTAGCCTGCACCACTGCATTCTAACCACTGCGCCACTGTGGCTCTTCCATACTTGGAATGCAATTCTGTGTAGTTGTGCAGCTTTCCAGGCAGCACTGAATTACTTTGATTCCTCTCTACAGGGTTGAGATGGAACACCAATCTCAGAGGGGAAGATCTAATGCCAGATGCTCTTCCCACCTCCTGTCGCTCCCATGGCTGCTGCTTTTGAAGGGAATTCCTGACTTGGAAAACTCTCAAGGAAAAGTGCTGCATGATGGGCAGAAGGGAATGAGGTTCTTCAACTGTCCATCATGTCTTTGATCTAGTGGAAAGTGCCAATCATCCATTGGGAAAATTTCAATAATTTTCTTTATGTTGTTTGCAACTGGAGAAGTCCCAGACGAGGAGGGACAAATAAGCATTGCTTTATTTTCCCCATCCAGGGTGCCAGGTATGCCAGAGTCATCCCAAACTGAAACACTTCAAATTTAGTTCAAGTGTTTTAACATGCAATATTTCTTAGGGAGACAATTTATATCACCTTTCCAGAGGCAGATTATTTTGGACTGTTACAGGAAGGTCTGGGGACTGGGGACCATGAGCCTTGATAGTACAGTGGTCTACGCACTCTGTTATTAACACAGCTGCCTGCAATTTCTGCTGGTTCGAATCTCTCCAAGGCTCAAGGTTGACTCAGCCTTCCATCCTTTCTAAGGTAGGTGAAATGAGGACCCAGTTTGTGGGGGCAATAAGATGACTTTGTATAAAATATACAAAAGTATGAAGGCTATTGCTTAACGCATTGTAAGCCGCCCTGAGTCTCCGGAGAAGGGCGGCATATAAATCAAATTAAAAAAAAAAAAAGATTGCATGCACAAGAATGCCACATCAAAGCCTGAAGCTAGGTCTTCTAACACTCACTGTTTTCTAGGCAGTAGGCTACTGCATGAACGCAGCCTCTCAACAATGGCCAGGTCTGCATGTTTATCTTCAGTGAGGGAAGTGATCTGTGGGTCTGCCATGAGGTGGTCATAGATAAGCTGCAACTTGCATTCCTGGAAGGGAAGAGAACAAAGAAATCCTCTCAATGAAAGGAATGAAATGATGTTTAAGAGAGCCTCTGGCAACTGGAACAAGGTTTGAGCATGGGTGTTCTCTCAGGACTTACACTAAGATTAATTAACTTTTCTCACCTCACATGAACTCTCAGGATTGCATTAACTTTACATCAACAATTTATTCAGAGCCATCTGAAGATTAAACTGGGATTCAAGCTTAATTAAGGTTAAGCATGGTTGGCTCAGGAATTCTGGGAGTTGAAGTCCACAAATGATAAAAGGGCCATTGTTCCCCACCCATCCTACACAAAAACATTTTTGAGAAATATAAAAATGCAACAGATACACTGAATGGGGTACAATAGAAATGTTAACACTGACACTATTATAAGATGGTAACTGTTAACCTCATACTCTTAAATATGGTTCTACTGTCATGTTTCCTGGTGCTATTAACAGGGGTATCCAATTTTGGCAACTTTAAGACTTGTGGACTTCAACTCCCAGAATTCCTCAGCCAGCTTTGCAAGTTGAAGTCCACAAGTCTTAAAGTTGCCAAGATTGGAGACTCCGGCTATTAAGAATTCAAGTCCAATTATAGCTGGAAGATTAAGGAGCTATTTTTCCTAAAATCTATTACTTGACGGAAGAGATACTCATTTTCCCACTTCTTCCACTCACAGTAGTCTTCCCATTCTGGAAATGCTGTTTTTGACCAGAGAATAAAATTCGCATACTTGCTTTTCCAGCTCAGCTTCTGCCCAACGTCTTTTCTTCATTTCCACTTCTACTTGGTTCCGGGCATGTTTCAACTTCACCTCCAGCAGAGAAGTCTTAGATTCTGATTGGCGTAACTGCTGCCTTGTCTTCTGCAGATCACAATCCAACCGGCAGCATCGCTGGCGCATCTCTTCAAGACACTTGGCAATCTGAAGGTATTCTGAACAGATGCATGGGGTCAGTATCGGGATCTGATGGCAAGGGCTCAGAATTATCTATGTGTAAATAAATCTTGCAAGCACATACGTATCTTGTATGTACCCAAGAATAACATGAGTTAAGAAGGAAAATGTCAAAATGGACAAAGAGAATGGGTTGTCCTGTGTGTCAGAAAAGGGGTATAGGAAGTGTAATTTTCTCCTTATCCTTACATAATCAAAGAGTTTCTAGATTCTGGCCAACCTGCTACCAGGAAGCACTGATGCCAGTGGTGCACTGGTGGGTTGCTACCGATTCTACCCAGATCGGTAAACCGGTAGTGGTGGTGGCAGGAGGCTCCGCCCACACATGCCAGACACTTCTGTGCATGCACAGAAGGAAGGGAATGTTAGGCTAATGCAATTCTGCACATACATATTGTAACATAAATCCAAGGAATGAAGAATTATTCAAGCAATAGCCTAAATATAAATATCTAAATGTATTATTTATTTATATTGATATAGGTACCCCTATCCTTTCCAGGCCAAATGGCAAATTGCAGAAGCCCATACAAAGTAGGGGAAAAACCACATAGCTCTTACGGACAATGTTCAACCAACATTTACCAGGTTCTTGCGATCTTCTGAATTATGTTTGTAGTCATCTATTATTATTTTCCAAGAATGCTTGTAAGGCCCAAAGCATTTCTATATTTAATAAAGACTAAGTTAGAGACTGGCTCTCTGTGCTTCAACATATCCACTCCCCAAACTCATCCCCTTTTAAACAAAAAAGCTGAAAGAATAAAACAGAGCCAGAAAATACCACAGGAAGCATCTTTAGATACACCGAAACTTAAAAATACAGTGTGGGCAGCTTCAGTGTTATTTCAATCCAAAATTGAAATTTCTGATCAGTCAGTGAGAAGAAAGTTGGCACATGTCACTCAGCAAATAAAATAAAGGACATGCAAATATTGTTTTGTCATTCCAATCTTCCATGGACAGGGCAAATAGCAATAGCGCTTAGACTTATATACTGCTTTATAGCGCTCTACAGCCCTCTCTAAACAGTTTACAGAGTCAGCATATTGCCCCCAACAATTTGGGTCCTCATTTTATCGACCTCAGAAGGATGGAAGGCTGAGTCAACCTTGAGCCTGGTGAGATTTGAACTGCCAAATTGCAATCAGCTGGCAGTCAGCAGAAATAGCCTGCAATACTGCGCTCTAACCACTGTGCCACCACAGCTCATGAAAAGTAAGAGAATTATTTAGGACAAAGTTCATGTCTCTTCCCTTCAGTTCAGTCTAAACAGAAGATTAAATTCACAATTCCCAGTCAACACAGTTGGAAGCTCTAAGGTTGAGGCAAACTGCTTTCCTAGACGGTACTGTGTTGCATAAAGGAGTACTGACAAACAACAAAAACCATGCAGAACAGAAGGATCTACCCAGAATTGTATCTTGCCTTAAGAAAGCAGACACACAAAAAGAGGCAGACAATAACTTTAGGGCAAGGGTGGGCAACTATGGCAACTTTACAAACTGTGGACTTCAACTCCCAGAATTCTTAAACCAGCATGGCTGGCTCAGGAATTCTGGGAGTTGAAAGCCACAGGTCATAAAGTTGCTTTATGGCTTGGAGCCCCAAATAGGCCTTAAATGAAATTGATCATTAAAGCTAACAGATTCAGAGGTGAGGTAGGAAGGAAGTAGGTACAGAGATGAAAGGAAGGTGAGCTGGAACCAACCCACCTTCTTCAACGTTGCTGTTGAAATTGGCAAGTTCCAGGAGTTGGTCCAAATGCTGCATAAGCAGTGGGCCAAAGCGATGCATCCTGCTAAAAAAAGAATTGAGAAGGAAGTTTAAATGACAGAGCAGGACCAGCCTACGAACTGTTTTTGCTTTAACCATAGCAGAAGGCAAGGCCTACTACGAAACAGACTGTCTTCAGCTTCTTCCCTTCAGTAGCCCAGCTCAACCTCACAACTGCTTGAAAAATTCTGCAACAGAAGCTTCACCTGTGTTGTAGAGTTTATTTTGCCTTTTTTCCTCCACTGCCTTCCAGATAAATTAATGTTGGAGTAAAAGACTCCCCCCCACCCAGTGGTGAAATCCAAATTTTTTTTTACTACAGGTTCTGTGGGCGTGGCTTGGTGGGCGTGGTGTGGCTTGGTGAGCGTGGCTTGGTGGACCTGACAAAGGAAGGATACTGCAAAATCCCCATTCCCTCCCCACTCCAGAAGGATATTGCAAAATCTCCATTCCCACCCCACTTGAGGGGAAGGATATTGCAAAATCTCCATTCCCTCCCCACTCCTGGGGGAAGGATATTGCAAAATCTCCATTCCCACCCCACTCTGGGGCCAGCCAGAGGTGGTAGTTGTCAGTTCTCCTAAACTTGACCCTTTGAAGATGTATGGACTTCAACTCCCAGAATTCCTCAACCAAGCATACTGGTTGGGGAATTCTGGGAATTGAAGTCCATGCATCTTAAAATAGCCAAGTTTGGGAAACACTGTCCTAACCACTCAAAATTTCCGCTACTGGTTCTCCAGAACCTGTCAGAACCTGCTGGATTTCACCCCTGCTCCCTCCACTTTGCTATATTTACTTGATTGACTTAATTTCAGCTTGACTGACAAATATCTAGTGGAGACACCGCTTCTCAGTCCATTGTGGATTCTATTAATGTTTTAAGGGAAGAGAGGAACAGTATAAAGAATAAAATATATTCTGATATAAAACTTCTCAAAATGAATGACCACACCCAGAAATACCCAGCCATCCGCTGGTCATACTGTATAAAATTCTGGGAAATGAAGTCCAAAGCATCTCTCTCACTCGTTCTCGGAAATCCTGTGTTTTTCAGCTAGAAAATCCATCCTTGCCAGGCTGGGAATTGGAAAGTGAACGGGCCGGAGGGAAGAACAGACAAAAGGCGAACTCTCATTCCACACTTTTTAAATACCCTCAATAGAGCAAAGTGAATTGTAAGCAAACACACCCTGCAGCCAAACCTCCAAATGTTAATCCGGGCGCAAATGTTGGTTTCCCCCACAGTCCCTTCTGTTCGGAACGCCTCGTGTTATGTAAAAAAAAAAAAAAAAATTCCTCCGACCCCTCGGTTTAAAAAGAGCGGTTCCCGCCCACCTCTTCGGCTTCGAGAAATAAAGGTGGTAAATCAAGGCAGTTGCATTACGAGGACTGGGGGGATTCAACGGAGTCTCTTGGCTTCCTTTAAAATTTCCAGCTCCTTCCCCATTGCTGGAAGTGGCCAAACTTGGTGCATGTTTGTGCCTTCAGATTTATTAATGTTATTACATTGCATGAAAATAATTAAATGCCCTGTATTTTGTGGATTCGTGGATTTTTTTAAAAAAATTGCTTTAGAACAATTGAATTAAAAAAGTATTTGTTTTCATTTAAGATGGCTATTGTGAAGACATGGTGACCTACAATTTTCAGAAGCTCAAGGTGAGTGCCTTTTGGGAGAGCTGTGCAATTCGTAAAATCACAAGATTCAGTTTTAAATTGCTGCATAGAGTTCTAGTTAAATAATGGCTTTAATTCAGTTTGGGGTATAAATGCAACCAGAAAGACAGACTGAGCCACAAACTAGCTGACCCTCCTTTAGTCTAACATTTGATGATAGAAGTCACCCAGTTCTTAAGATTGCTTTCATGTGTGGCAGGGAGGCTGGTAGGCAGATGCCCGTAAAAGCTGAAAAGCCTTGTGAAAGTAATTTTTTTTTCCTGCTTACCAAGGATGGAAGAAGGATTGGTGGGAAAAGGTCTCAAAGTAGAAAATGATTTTGAATCGATCCTCCCCAAGTGCAAATGTGGTAAGATAACTATTGTACAGCAATGGTAATAGCACTTAGACTTATATGATGCTTTACAGCCCTCGCTAAGCGGTTTATAGAGTCAGCATATTGCCCCCAATAATCTGGGTCATCATTTTACCCACCTGAGAAGGATGGAAGGCTGAGTCAATCTTGATAGTATAGAGTCATAGCTTTAGCAGGAAACACTGAAAAATATTCACTTTCCTCCTTCAGCATGTGCCCACAGATATATAGCATTCTAGCTGTATTTTTTAAAACCATTTTTTAAAAAAAGGCTAAACAATTAAGGGAAACTGGGGAAGTTTGATAGGGTCCTGCAAAATTCATTATTTTTATACTGGCACCTCTCAATGTCAATTTATTTTAGTCGATTACATAACAGCATATTATATATGTTTACACAGTATTATTATACAATATCAATGCATTTATGTAGTTACTAAGTTTTCATTTTGTTTTTTTTTTCTTTAAGAACATATGGAAACAATTTAACATTAATTTTAAAAATCTGTTAAAATGTGCATGCATATAATAACTCTACAAAAGTTACGTTATCTAAGGAATGTGTAGAAGTCACAGTATATCATATCTCTAAGGGCAAAATATAGATGGATATAAATAAAAACTCCAGTTTCAAATAATATGATCATTGGGACTTGGAGACACCTGTCTGAAAACAATCTCTGCAATCCGAATTAAAAGCTAGCTATGGTGAAAATGCAGCACAGGTAGTCCTCCACTTATGACCACAATTGAGCCCAAAATTTCTGTTGCTAAGGGAGACATTTGTTAAGTGAGTTTTGCCCCATTTTACTACCTTTCTTTTCACAGTTGTTAAGTGAATCATTGCAGTTAAGTTAGTAACATTGTTAAGTAAATCTGGCTTCCCCATTGACTTTGCTTGTCAGAAGGTCACAAAAGCAGATCACATGACTCTGTGCGACACTGCAATTGTCATAAATATGCATCAGTTGCCAAGCAACTGAATTTTGATCAGGTGACCGTGGGGATGCTGCAATGGTCATAAGTGTGAAAAATGATCATAAGTCACGTTTTTCAGTGTGGTTGTAACTTTGAACGGTCACTAAATGAACTGTTGTAAGTCAAAGACTATCTGTATGTCAGTTTTTGGATGATGGTTGCAAGAAAATGCCATGTGAAAGTAAGTGAACAAAGCATGGTGATTTGACAATAGCCCTTTCAAATAGAAAAGATATATTTTCCACTTTTTTTCCTATGCCTGCTAAGTTTTGTCAACCATTCTTTATCAAAGAAATGCAAAGAAAATTACCAGAAAGACAAGTCCCTTTTTAAATATTTTAATTTTTTTAAAATTTTAAATATTTTAACCCTGCTTTTCTATTTAAAAAGCCCTTGGAACAGGGTTTTTAAGATCTACTTATAGTGTATCCATGTGGTGATCTACATACTTGCAGAATAATAGGTTGGACAATTTTCCTGTAGTTGGAATCAGGTCACAACTAAATTCAGTCTAATTTAGGTAAAGATTCCCCCGCACATGCCTGCTAATTGTTTCCAGCTCTAGGAGCCGGTGCTCATCTCCGTTTCAAAGCCGAAGAGCCAGCGCTGCCCAAAGACGTCTCTGTGGTCATGTGGCCGGCATGACTAAATGGCAAAGGCGCATGGAGCACTGTTACATTCCCACCAAAGTGATCCCTATTTCTCTACTTGCATTTTATGTGCTTTCAAACTGCTAGGTTGGCAGAAGCTGGGGCAAGTAATGGGAGCTCACTCAGTTACGCGGCACTAGGGATTCGAACCGCTAAACTCCCGACCTTCTGCTTGAGAAGTTCAGCATCTTAGCCACTGGGCCACCACATCCCTTAATCTAAGCCCAACCCAAATAAAAAATACTTATGAATAATATTATTACTCTTCATATATTTGGTACAATTCTTTCTGGCCCATTATATATTGCAGTTTTCTGGTAACTTTGGACAAAGAAATGAGCCCTGAGACCACAGATAAGCTAGCCCTGCTCAGTGGCCTCTTCAGCGGTGTCGAATATCTACCAGGCCAGAGCAAAAGATTTAGCAGATAAATTACCAGCTTGCCTTTCCAGTTTTCTGTCTGGTGATGTTCCCCTGCCTTGAACGAACTCTTCCACACTCTCAAAACCTGCACTTTTGAAATAGGATCCCCATCTTGAATGAATGAATTTGCTAAGACAGATTCAGGCTTCTCAAATCTACCCAAGAAAGCCAGTTGCAAAATACAGAGGAAAGCTCAAACTAGTGATACTACTGATATTCTGAAGTAAGTCTCTTTCCTTACACACACACACACACACACACACACACTTCACAATCGCTCTGCAGCAGGATTTTTCAGACTTGGCAATTCTAAGGAGTGTTGATTTTAACTCCTAGAATTCTGGGAGTTGAAGTCCACATGCCTTAAAGCTGTCAAGTTTAAAAATCACCGCTCTAGAGTTTCTTGTGTTACCTCACACACAGAAAGAAATCAAGTCTGGTTTACTTCATTTAATACCCTAATGAATGATTAAAAAGAAGCCCAAAGGTGCTTTTTCAAAAAGCAACTGGACTTTGTTTTTCCTTGAAGTTGCCTTTTGAAAAAGCACCTTTGGGACAACCATGACCTGGATGACTGAGAATCTCCATAGACGATTAAAGAGAAATGTTGTGGTTATGTCATTTCTTTAGGTCAAGAAGCTTTGCTGATTTATGGGAGGATTGCCAATATATCCTACCTTCTGCCCTCGCTCATTTTCAGAGGTGTAGTTCCATCCCTGTAGGAGCATCCATAGGCAGTGTAGAAATTCAGCACCTATGCACCCTCATGGAGAATGAAATATTTGGGGGAATATTAAAAAGGCAGGATAGAATATTTCCCCTAAAGGAGAAATGGGAAAAAAAATCTTAAGGGAGGCAGAAACCAGTCCCAATCTCCCTGCACCAAGCAAAAACTGAGGAGGCCAGCTTTTAGAAATGCAGATTTGGTAATTCATTCAGAAATGTCTGGGTCAGACAGAAACTTCAGATAAGCAAGAAGCCAAAAGTTGCCAAGATTAGCTCAGACAAACACCTAGGATTTGCATTTCCCCTCTTGCCCATAAAGCCAACCATGACCCTTACATGATCCCATAGGGACCCAGAAGGTATAAAACCCACCCACTCTCAACTCCATTTTGTCAGCTGTCCCAGAACTGCACGCTCTGTGTATGTGTTGGTTCTGTTCCCCAATAAACAGAATCTTTCTTTCCAATCAGCCTCCATTTTATTCCCAGCTTGGAACTGGAACTGGATTTTTTTTCTTCTTACATAAATTGTTATGTTATGTTTACTACCCATAAATTGGGTAGTAAACTGAAAGACGAAAAGCTGCTGGGAATTCGAGCTCTCAGCAAGATCTGGAGACCATAAACTGACCAGCTCTGGTGTAAGAGTTGAAGTCTTGAAATCATTTTGAGTTTCAGGCCTATTTTTCTGTAGCTTTAGTTACATTTACAACAGAATGGTAGTGATGATGATAGCAGTAGCAGCTTGCGTACCTTACTGGCTAGCTACTTGGGTACCTAAACAAACAAACAAACAAACAAACAAAAAGACTACTATATGACTACATGATCCTGTGGGAGTATTTAAAATTTTGTTTCTAGTTTCACTTCATTACACTGACAGATGTGCTGCGTAGAGGCCAGAAAAACAACATACCAGTGTTAACAGTCAGGCCTTGGACATTTTTGTGTTCAATAAACTGTAAATAAATACCTTGTGATACAAACCACTTGATGCATTTTAAAGCTCCAATAATAATTTTTCTTCATTTTGACCTCTTCTTCTATGAAAGTTTAGTAAATGTGTGTGTGTTTGCACATACACATGCCAAGAAAGAATGACAACTTTTCAATCAGTGCTTTCATGCTCTAAACCAGGGGTGTCAAATTTGATTTCATTGAGGGCCACATTAGGGTTGTGTTTGCCTCGGGGGGCCCAGGAGGGGCTTGGCCAGACCAATGTCACTTGTCAGGGGCGCCTGTGGTGGTTTGAGTGGTCTGCCAGCGAAAATGGGCTTCTGAGCTCCGTTTTCAGCTGCAACGGCTTCCTGCAACCCTCTGCCAGCGAAAAGAGTTTGGCAGAGCGGCCCATGGCCCTCGTAAGCTCCATTTTCAGTTGCGACAGCCTCCTGCACAGGGGTGAAATGTAAAAATGTTTGCTACCGGTTCTGTGGGTGTGGCTTGGTGGGCGTGGCTTGGTGGTCATGTGGCCGGGTGGGCAAGGCCAACTTGATGTCACTCACTGTTAGAGCCAGGAGCTGCACATTTTGAAGCACATTCTGCCCTTCTGAAGCCCTCAACGCTTTGAGTTTCCCTCCACCATCCAAGTGATGGAGCCCTCTCTTGCAGAAATAGAATCCAGGCACAGAAATGGAAAAATGAGGCAGTGGGTGGGAGGAGAAGGTGTAAGAAGACGTTTCCTTAGATCGCTGATGCTCCCAACTATGAGTTTGGTGGCGATCTAAGGAAACGTCTTCCAGCTCTTCAAGATCAACTTTAAGCAGACCGCAAAAGTAGTGGTGGGGGGGCAACATGCGTGCGTGTGTGTGTGTGTGTGTCTCCCTCCACAAGGACTTGGAGGCAGACACTGCCCCTCTGAGGAAAAGAGGAGTGGCAGAGCCCTGGCTGTTACCTGGGAGAGGAGGACTGCGGAGGCACACACACACACGCACACCTGCTGCTGCCACCGCTACTTTTGCTGTCAGCTTCTCGGCGCTCTTAAAGTCGATCTTGAAGAGTTGGAAGATGTTTCCTTAGATCGCTGATGCTCTGAACAATGAGTTTGGCAGCGTGGAAGGCAGGCACGCTGGGAAGGGAATAAGCTGTTAGCTCCCTTCTCCGCAGCCCTGCCACGCTTGCCTGCCTTCCACATGGCCTTCCGCTCGCCTGCCTTCACAAGCTGGCGACGGGAAGGCCGCATGGAAGGGCTGTGGGCCGTGGTCCAGTTCGGGGGCATGGCCAGCCAGCAATTGGTACTGGTACGGCGAACCAACCCCAATCTCCGCTACCGGTCCTCCCAAACCAGTCCAAACTGGTAGCATTTCACCCCTGCTCCTGCAACATTCTGCCAGTGAAAATGGAGCTCAATTTTCACTGGCAGAGGCCCCATGGCCTTTTCCTTTGCTGTTTCCAGGGCAGCTCTGCAGGCCAGATCTAAGCACCCCGTGGGCTGGATCTGGCCCCTAGGCCTTGAGTTTTACACCCCTGCTCTAAACAGTGTCTCTCTCTCTCTGTGTGTGTATGTGTGTGTGTTTGTGTGAATGCATGTGCATGTACAAACCTTTCAGTAGTGACAAGCCCTCACAATTTTCCTGGCAAGGTTTTCAGAAATGCTCTGCAGTTGCCTGCTTCTAAGGCTGAGAGAAAGTGACTGGCCCAGGTCATCCAGGTGGTTTCATGTCTAAAGTGGGACTAGATCTCAGGGTTTCTCAGTTTCTACCCAGGTGTTTTAATCTGGCAAGTCTAACAACCAGTTAGTTTGCTGATTTTTGCATAACAACTTGCTAGTGGCCAAATTTGTAGAGGCTTCTTAGAAATCAGATTAATGTATTTCCTACTAACAATATACTTCATAATTTATAATTTTTTTTCATCTTCTTTTCCTACAAGGAAACCTGTGTGGAACAAAATTTTATTCTCCGACGTTTGTAATGGAGGTTTGGCTGACAGACTTACCCTGTCACCTTCATGGCTGGCTGTATGTTTGAATCTCTAACTCCCCATTCTGCCTGCTATATAGCATCCTGGTTTGAATATAAAATAAGAATTGTATCTGAGTTGCCCTTGTTACATATATAGAGCATCCAGCCAAAAAAAAGAGTGCTTTTCCTTGGATAATCCAGTCATTCCACAAGCAATATTAATGATATTAGTTGTTCTAATTAGTGAGTATGTTTATTTCGTATGTCAATTTATATGCTTTTCTATTTTTTATATTAAAATAAATGTACTAAATACCTGTACTCTAACTGCATTAATGAAGCAAAGAATAACAAATCACAACCTCTGAACCAATGATTGTCAACTTCTCCAGGGATCACTGGCAGCCTGCAAAGATGTGGTTCATGATGCAGATGGCACTTGTATAAGGCAGGGGTCCCCAAAACTGGCAACTTTAAGACTTGGGGACTTCAACTCCCAGAATTCTCAGCATAGCTGGCTGGAGAATTCTGGGAATTGAAGTCCACAAGTTTTAAAGTTGCCAAGTTTGAAGACCTCTGGTATAAGGTCTTCCCTGGCACTCATATATGGAGCATGAATTTACACATGGAGAAAGCCTGAAAGTGTAACAGTATCTTAAGTGTTTTTTTCTGGTGAGACTGGTCTATCAGGGCAACCTGATCTACCCAAATATGGGATGGAGTAGACTGCTTCCACTTTCGCCTTTCAGTCCCAATCTGGAAGCCTTCGCAGGCAGTTGCTTTCATGACAAACTATTTTTTGTGTTGAATTTTACCGACAATTTTCGTTGTCGGTAAAATATAAATTCAACGTAACGGTATCTTTCCTTCTGAAATTTGTACTTAAGTGTACAAAATCCAGGGAAGAAGTTACACTCCCACCCAGGGGTAAAATCTAAAATTTCTTACTACCGGTTCTGTGGGCGTGGTTTGGTGGTGGTGGGTAATGTGACTGGGTGGGCGTGGCCAATTTTTTTTTTTTACTTTTAAAACCATTTTTTCTACAACCTCTTCAGCTAAGAGGTTGTAAAAAATGCTTTCAAAAGGCTCTGACGATCCCAGCTGAGTTCCCTGATCAGCAGAGGCTTTTTAAAAACTCAGCTGGGATCGTCATAGCATTTAAAAGAAAAAACCCCTTTTTTTCTTTTAAATGCTCTGATGATCCAAGCTGAGTTCTCTGATCGACAGGGGCTGCCAATCAGGGAACTCTCAACTTGGATCGTCAGAGCATTTAAAAGAAAAAAAGGGGTTTTTTCTTTTAAATGCCTTTGACGAGCCGCGCGATCATCAGAGGCTTTTTTTATTTTATTTTTAAAAGCATTTTTTCGGCCGTAGTTGTAGAAAAAATGCTTTTAAAAGTAAAAAAAAGGCCTCTGAGGATTGTGCGGCTCAGCTGGGCATGGAGGGGGGGGCAGGGATTTTTGCTACCGGTTCTCCGAACCACCTGCCTCCATTGCTACTGGATCAGGTGATCTGGTCTGAACTGGGAGCATTTCACCCCTGCTCCCACCAAACAGTGCAGTTTCCCGGCACAGCTCCCATCTCTGCTTCCAATTTGGGATAATTAGATTAGTAACATTTGGAAGAAGGATTACATCATTTTCAAATATCTAAGGAATGATGTGGTAATAGTCCCAAAGGTGCTTTTTTCAAGAGGCAACTGGACTTTCTTATTTTTTTGTTTTCTTCCTTTTTTTTTCTTTTTCTTTGAAGACGTTTCGCTTGTGGCAATAGTATGAACCGCACATCCTACATACGCTTCTCTGAAAGGAGGGAGCATATAGAATTGAATGCATGAAGGCCTCCTCCCATCCAAAGAGGATTTTTAATGGGTTGAAGCAAGATTGTTGTTGTTTTTCGTTCAGTTGTATCAGATTCTCAGAAACCGCCTGGACAAGTCCCTATAGTTCTTTTGGTAAGGTTTTTTGGGAGTGGTTTGCCATTGCCTCCTTCTTAGGGCTGAGAGAGAAAGGGTGCTAGCCCAAGGTGACTTAGCTTGGCTTTGTTCTGTACTTCTAAACTTGACCACTGATTATTGGAAGCCCAGGAACAGGAAAGCGGGATGCTGGCTATCAAAATTATGGGTGTACTTTTGAGGGAAGCCTGCAAGGCTGCAAATGTTGCTTTTGATGAATTGCATATAGAAAATCCATTAGTACAGGTAAGAGGGAGACCCTCTTAGACTGAATCCCACCTGAAGAGCGGAGCACCTCAAGCACTATGTCAGTAGACCATCCAGGTCATAATCCAATCCCAGAGCAGATTCTCTAAATCCCTGCAGACTCTCGGGCTGAATAAAGCATTAAGGCATTGTCTGTCGGTCAAGGAAATCCAAGTTAATAGGCTTGTCTGGAACCAGCACAATACGGGAGACAGACTTCACGTCAGTGCATTGCGGGTCTGGTCTGATCAAGAACTTCTGCATTATCTGGAAACAACCCAGAGAAAAATTGCACATTATTTCACGGGCTTCCTGTCTGGTTCTACCTTGCCTTACATCCCTTCACATTACAGATAGTCCTCAATGTTCATTTAGTGACCGTTCAAAGTTACAACGGCACTGAAAAAAGTGACACAACCATTTTTCAGACTTATGACCATTGCAGCATTTCCCATGGTCACGTGATATACATTCGGATGCTTGGCAACTGACTCATCTTTATGACGGTTGCAGTGTCCTGGGATCATGTGATCCCCTTGTGCAAGCTTCTGACAAGCAAAGTCAATGGGGAAGCCAGGTTCACTTAACCACCAGGTTATTCATTTAACAACTGCAGTGATTCACTTAACAAATGTGGCAAGGGATATCATAAAATGGGGCAAAACTCAAGTAACAAATTTCTCAGTAACATACATTTTGGGCTGAATTGTGGTCATAAGTTGAGGACTACCTGTACTTATATTTATTTCTGACCTGCTGCATCACAGCATTTTATGTCAAAATGGTTGCCAGTTGGTAAAGTCATGAAAATGGAGAAGAATGGAGAAGAAGGGAACTAGGTGTGTTCAGCCTATGCTCAGGGGAGACATGATAGCAGTCTTCCAATAATTGTGGGATTGTCACAAGGAAGAAGGTGTAAAATTTATTCTCCATAGCACCTGGAGGCAGATAAAAAAGCAATGGGTGGAAGCTCATCAGAGGGAGATTCAACCTAGAAATAAACAGGAATTTCCCGACAGTAAGAATAATTAATCAATGGAACAGCTTGCTTCCCAGAGTTATGGATGCTCCATCACTGGAAGTTTTCAAGAAAATACTGGACAACTACCTTGTTTCCCCCAAAATAAGACATCTCCTGATAATTGGGCTTTTGAGCACATGGCAATAAGGCCAAGCGCTTATTTCAGGGTTCAAAAACATATAAGACAGGGTCTTATTTTCGGGGAAACACAGTATTTGTCTGGGATGGTATAAGGACACCTGCCTCAAGCAGGGAGTTGAACTAGAAGACCTCCAAGGTCTCTTCCAGCCACATGATTCTATGATTTTTATTGCAGTTGTTAAATGAATTGTGCAGTAGTTAAATGAGTCCAGTTTCCCCCATTGACTTTGCTTGTCAGCAGCTAACTGGGAAGGTTGCAAATGGTGATCAGACGACCCTGGGCTACTGCAACTGTCATCAATACATGGCCAATTGCCATGTATCAATACATGTCATCAATACATGGCCAATTGCCAAGCACCTGAATTTTGATTATGTGACCACAGGGTCACATGCAATGGTTCTAAGTGCAAGGACCAGTTGTAAGTCACTTTTTTCAGTGCCATTGTAACTTTGAATGATTGTAAGTTGGGGACTGCCTGTACTTTTCATCTAACCTATCTTCCACCTTCTGAGAAACAAGCTAAAAAATGTATATATCCCCTACATTAACAGACAACAAAAGTGGGGACGGGAAGGGTGGAATTCCACTGATTTCCCTGTGGACAGAAATCAGGCTAGAATCCCAGAAATGAAGTTGGAATTTCACTTTATTTTGCGGCTACGATATCGCAGATTATACAGAGACTGGCAGACATACACTCACGCACAGAAACTACTGTATTTTTCGGAGTATAAGACACACCTTTCCGCCCCCTAAAAGGGGGTGAAAATTTAGGTGCGTCTTATACACTGAATGTAGCCCCGCCCACCCACTGGTCCTCATCCTTTGGCCTCTGCCTCGCAGCAGTTACCCCCTTGCAAGCAAACAGCAAGAAAAAAAACAGCTCCTTTCAGCTTCAGCACAGCCTAATTAGCACAAGTTGATTGGATCGACCTCCGGACTCTCAGCTGATTTGCTCTCAGCTGATTTGCGCAGGCCTCTGTTGCTTGCTGCAAAAAAGTAAATTGCTGGAGCAGATTTTTTTTCCCCCTTGTGCTAATCAAGCTACACTGAAAACGAAAATGAAAGTAAAGCAGGCTGTTTGCTGTTTGCTGCAACGAGGCAAAATTGCTCAGAGGCAGAGGGAGATTTCTTTTTCTTCTTTTCCTCACCAAAAAAGGTAGGTGCATCTTATATTCCGAAAAATACGGTACTTACCCTGATAAGAGCCAGGTGCATTTCAAGTTCAGCAATGCGACGTCCCGCACAGGCACGGACTCCATAACCAAAGGGAATGGAACTGAAGGGGTGAGGAGACATCTCTCTCTGGTCTCGCAACCAGCGGCGTGGCAGGAAGCGTTCTGGCTCTGGAAAGTTGGTCTCATCATGTGAGATGCCATAGTGAGCCAGTACAAAGAGGCTCTAAGCCCAATAGAAAGCACAGAAAAAAATTAGAAAAAAGATTTCTGAGTAAGCCAATAGAGATGCTGTTTTTCAACAAGGTTCTTCCTCAGGCAGATCTATGATGATGGCAACAAACATGGGCAGAGTCTATATGGGTATCCCTTCCGTGTGGGAGAGATGATAGAATACTGGCATGTTTCCAAAGTGCAAATGCTGTCAGTAGACAAAAATCAAGCTCTGTGGTGTATGTGCAACAGGAGCAGAGTGTGTGCCTTTAGCGACTGTTGGTATTGGCCAGTAGTGAGTTCTCAGACAGCATAACTTACTTTGTATTCCATAGAAAAAAAAATCATCTTATAAATAAAATTGCTCTCTAATATAATCCTTGATCCTTATATATTCCAACCCTGAGGTAGTATTCAGCAGGTTCTGACAATTCTAGAGAACCGGTAGTGGAAATTTTGAGTAGTTCGGAGAACCGTTAAATACCACCTCTGACTGGCCCTGCCCCCATCTAGTCTCTGCCTCTTGACTCCCAGCTGATCGGGAGGAAATGGGGATTTTGCAGTAACCTTCCCCTGGAGTGGGGAGGGAATGGAGATTTTACTGTATCCTTCCCCTGCCATGCCTACCAAGCCATGCCCATCAAGCCATGCCACTCCCACCAAACCACTCCCACAGAACTGGTAGTAAAAAATTTTGAATCCCACACTGTTCCAACCTGTCCATTTTCCTTTGCCCAATTCTGCCTAGCAAGGACTGACATTACTAATGGATGCTACATTCCGAGCATGGACTGCTATCCCAATGATTACGTTATGTTTCACATTCTTTCTGGTTACTAAGCCCAATTCACTTAGAGATGTCCTCGTTGCAAAATCAATAATACACCAGTACTTACATCCTTCTGGAACTGGTATCCTTGAATGACAACTTCCTTCTCTGCAATAATCCGTGCGTTGGTGGGGACCACAGGATAAAGCCTTTAAAGGGGGAAGTGGCAGATCAGTGGGCAGCATTGAACAGCAGGAAGAGATCCTAATGACCTAGACCAGTGATTGCAACCCTTTTGGATTTGGCCTGTGTCATAAAGTTCATCACCTAGGCCAGCTTGATGACCTTGGACCAGTCACTCATTCTCAGCCCTAGGAAGGAGGTAATGGCAAACCACTCCTGAAAAACCTTGCCAAGAAAACTGCAGAGACTAGTCCAAGCAGTTGTTATATGTCAACAATTGACTCAAATAAATAAAAGGGAGGAAAATAAACCCTGCTTTTAGTCAAGAATGCCAGATGCTAAGGGAGCATTGTAAAAATGTGATTATAGTGTGTTATATTAACTGGCAGAAAAGTTCTGACCCAGCTAGAACTCAGGACAATCTCCTTTCAGACCTGTGGCCATCAGGAGCCAAGACTACCTTAATGGCACACATGTGCAAATATGAAAGCCATAGAAAGGCCCACAGAAGCACACATTAAAAATTGGGGAAAATAACATCCTTTACTAGTTTCTGGCAGCTGACAAATATTCTGTTTGTGCGTCACGATTTCCTGAACACATCAAGGGGCCCACTGTCTGACCCAGAATTTTGCATCTGCAAGACTTCCAGCCTGCTTTTATATTCTCATGAACGCAGGTAGTCCTTAGTCCTTGACTTATGACCAACTTACCTTGGAGTTATTTACAACTCAGATTTGAAGTTCTAACAGTTGCTCCTCCCCACACAGTCACAACCTTCAGACACTTAGCAATATGTATTTAAGCTGTTTGCAGTATCCTTCGGTCACATGACTGTTTTTACAACAGCTTTGTTGAAAACCAGCACTTCTAGTTTTCGGCAAAACTGTGCTCACAGCAAACAATTGGTTCACTTAATACCCACGGTGATTCGCTTAACAACCACCACATGAAATTGGGTTGTGATAATGGTGCAGGGCTCATTATGGTTGTAATTTGAGAACTATCGGTCATTTCTTGAAAACCCAGGCTGCAAAGCGGCAGCAACAGGCACTCTATCCTTGGTCTGAGGTTAAGACTGCATCCTGCTTCTTTGCTCAACCATAGAGAGGCTCCTACCTGAGAGTCTCCTTGATTATTGCCTTAAGCAGAGGCATCTTGCTGATGTCTTTGGCTTCAGGGATTTGGTCTGCGGGTACCACATTGGCTATTTCCTGGTATAAAGCTTCCTGGATGTCTGGGTTTCTAGCCAGATGATACAAACACCAAGACAGAGTATTGGATGTCTGAAAAGACCAAACGAAAGAGTGAAAGTGATAGGCATCGGCTCTGGGCTGGAGAATGATCACATATGTGTGACGACATCATCACAAATGCTGTGACTTGTGTCGCAGCTTCAGACACTGTAATGCACATGTATAAAGGCATTTGTATGATGATTTCAGTGGTGCAGTGGTTAGAGTGCAGTACTGCAGGCTACTTCTACTGACTGCCAGCTGCCTGCAATTTGGCAGTTCAAATCCCACCAGGCTCAAGGTTGACTCAGCCTTCCATCCTTCCGAGGTGGGTAAAACGAGCACCCAGATTGTTGGGGGCAGTATGCTGACTCTGTAAACTGCTTAGAGAGGGCTGTAAAGCACTGTAAAGTGGTAAATAAGTCTAAGTGCTATTGCTATGATTTTGCTGTATGTGTGTCATTGCTGCAAATTGTTGTAGATGCATTGCTTGTGAAAATGATAGCAATCTCTAGATAGGATCTTGGAACAGATGTAGGTTCTCAAAGTCCTATTATAAGGGTTAAATTGTCAGAGCCAAATTTCTCTCCCAACACTGTAAGATAAATAAAACATGGCAGTTTGCTATACTGACATATTTCTCAAAATTAGAAATATATCTGCCTCCCCCCCATTTTTTTTTTTTTTTTGCAACAAGCCTATCTGTTTCTGTCCTCTTTAGTACTATATCCCAACCTAAAAAGGATTAGGTGTGCTTACAAATCTGCCATATATTCTTGCTCGGTTATGATGGGTGAATTTGTTGAGAGTTCCCCTTACAATTTAAGCTGATTCCTAAGCCTGAATCTCTAATTTAGAAGAAGGGTGAGGCTCAAATATAGTAATTAAATAAAAATGGTAAACAAGATAATCAGTGCCAAGACTGGTAAGATTTTTCAGATATTCACTCATACTGAAAATAAAAAAGGAATGTTATTCTCAGCCACGGTCATCAGTTCTTTTGTAGCAGCTGATTTTTCCAGACATTTGGGGGAAGGCTCATAGTTCAAGGTAGAACTCATGCTTTATACAGAAGAGGCAACAGGTTCAAAATGATATTACTCAAGGTCAGAGAATCAGAAAATGGGATGGAAAGGCTCTCTGGCAACGAGCAAATTACTGCCATTTAAAATGGCCAACAACTGTGCATCACCATGGGTCTTATGGAGTGTGTTAGTATGAAAGTGTAGTAAATAAAACAGACCATTCAACAAGTAGACAAAAATAAAATCTGACTTCGTATAAAATAGCTTCTATTTATGCTCTAGAAGAGTACTCTTAAACATCTGGTGCAGTCATAGCAAATATTTGGGTTCAGTGTGTCAAAAATATGGAAAATGTCTAACTTGACTCTGCTGCCATGCCATGCATGCACACACATCCTGAACCAAAGATAAACAATTCTCTATCACCTCAACCTCACTGATCTAAGCCACCCTGTACAGTGGCACTTGGTAGGGCAAATGTTGGGCCTGAAGTAGAGGCTCAGGTCTTGACTTCAGCCCTAGGGCCACTGCTGCCACTCAAAAAGGCCACTTCACACCATTCCCCATTTCCCCTGGAGCCCAGTCCTCCTCAGGATCTGCCACATAACTGCTTATTTTTATGTGATGTTCTCTTTCTGTTGACAAGCCCCTGCAATTTATCTGAGGCTGCTGTGGGTTGCACGAGGCCTTTGGTCTTGAATCAGCTGCAGAGAATGGTCTCCAGTGGCTTCTGCAGCCTCTGAAAACTGTATGAAAGAATTCCCATTCTCACATGATTTTCAGAAGGTCCAGAGTGTGCACGGACTCGTGTCCAGAATCTGCACGGACTCATATAGCCTCTTCAGCCTCAGAAAATCACATGAGTACAAAGCATGCTTTCAAGAATAGCCACCAGGTCTTACTGAACATTGGCAAAACATTGTGGTGTGTCACCTTTGACACTCATGTTATAGGTCGCCAGCACTGTTCTAGTGCATATTTGGGCTTTCAAGCAGTAGTGTGAGGAATAAAGGTTGATCAGCAGATGGCAACCTGCTTGACAACATGACAAGTGTTTGCCATCACTTTTGCTCCTCAAGCATCAGGGCACCCTTATAGGAACAACAGGAAGTCAATGTCCTACCGTGTCAACACCAGCCAATAGCAGCTCAGTTATGCTTCCGTATATCTCTTCATGACTAAGCTGCCCACTGGTAAGCAAGTACGTCAGGTATCCTGAAACTTCCTCACCCCGTTCCAGACGCTTCTCTAATTCCAAAGTCTTCTGATCGATCAGTTTTTTCCCTACAGCATGAAAGAGCTTCGGTTACTGACGGTTCACAATACTGAGGCTAGCAAGACAATATCCATTATAATGGACAAGCTATTCATCCATTGATTCCTTGGCTATGCAAGAAGCTTAAAGAAAATACAAATTCCCCAAGAGGAACCCAGACAAATGCCAGCTCCTTGAATGTCATCAAGCGGATTTGGCTAAAAATTCAGAGAGTTATTCTCAGATCCCCATCATGCACGTACCAAAGGCAAAGATTGTATCCCAGCCTTGTAGGTAGCGGTTAAAGAAAGGCAGCATGTTCCGTGTCCATTTGGGTAGGAAGGTGACAAAGACAGAATTCCTGAACATATATCCAATAGCATCAATGAAATTTTTTGTTTCAACGGGCATCTCTTTCTCTAGACAGCCAATGCGGGTCTCAAAAAGAATATAGGAGATACCTGGAGGTAGAAAATACAGATGAGTCATATAATTATGCACAACGGCAGCCAGTAGGAAAAGAAAACTGCAGTCTAGAAAGGAATGGGTCAGATAAAGATGAGATGTGGGAAGAGTGCCATTAGCCATAAGAGAGGTATTGTGGTTATGCTTCTGATTTGTATAGAAGTACTGAAATGGATGACACTCCAGTGGGCAGGATATACTGTACAGTGGCCATACTGATAATTAGGCAACATTTGTAGACAGTTGATTCGAACTCTCCAGGGTATGATATTCTTCCTGCTTGGAAGTATGGTGTCTGTTCTGAAGGCTCTGTTCCCATGTTAAGGCATCTTTCAGCCTAGGCTTCCAGAGGTGCTACATTTCAGCTTCCTTAATGCCCTAGCCCAGTGGTCACCAACTGGTGGTCCACGAACAACTGATGGTTCACGAGAAAATGTTGGTCATCCGTGGCACACCCGGGTGAAGGAGTTGCTCCGGGATGAGCAATGGCCAGTCCTGTGACTAGAGCTCTTGAATATGGGAGTGGCCAGGCAGCTCACTTTGCAGCGCAGCCCTCGCCGGCCAGAATGAGGTAATGGTGCAAGGCAGAGGTGGCAGTGCAGGCGGGCCAAAGCAATGGGTGGCGGGAACCCCAGGCTGTTTCTTCCCCCTGCTGTAGCTTCCTGTCGACTGAACCCACCAGTGGCTGTCCCTGTCCCTCGCCCTCCATTCCCAGTTACTCCTCGCCTGGCAAGGGAAGGGCAGGGGATGGAGATTTGCTCCATATTTCAGAGGGGGAGCAAAGCTTCGTCGCTTGCCGGATCTCGCAGCCATTTCTTCTGGCTCTTGTTGGTCCTCCGCGCACCTCAGTCTCTCGGGGAGATGCTTGACTTCCTCTCAGCCCCAAGACACTGGCAAGCCCATGGGATGAGAGAGAGAAAGAGAATCAGAGAGAGAGAGAGAATCAGAGAGAGAATGAAAGAGAGAGAATGAGAGAGAAAGAAAGAGACAGAGAGAGAATGAGAGAGAGAATGAAAGAGAGAGAGAGAGAGAATGAGAAAGAGTGGGAGAGAGAGAAAAAGAGAGAGGGGAGAGAGAGAGTGAAAGAGAGAGGAGGGAGAGTGCCTGAAGGACCCCATCCCGTCACTCGGAGTCCAGGCGCTTCAGCAAGCGGCACTCTGGATTCTTATTAGTAGTCCGTGGCGGGATGGGTTCTACTTACCTTTACTACCGATTCGCAACGGGATCGCATGTGCGCGATCGCTTTGCTCACGCACGTGGCTTGCACATGCGCAGATCGCCGATGACAACATCCGGGGTGGTGGGTGGGGCCTCCCACCGGTTTTACTACCGGTTCTTGCGAACCGGTCCGAACCAGGGGCAACCCACCACTGGTCCGTGGGATTTAAAATTATGAACTCGGTGGTCCCTGAGGTCCAAAAGGTTGGGGACCCCTGCCCTAGCCAGCAATTCAAATTCCTAAATGAAAATGGGAATCTTTACTTGACTTTTGTGATAAACTGCTTTGGCTGAATGCCACTGGTCAATGTTCACCCCCTTTATGTATTTGTGGGGATAGAGAATGGAATGGAATGGAATGGAATGGAATGGAATGGAATGGAATGGAATAGAATAGAATAGAATAGAATAGAATAGAATAGAATAGAATAGAATAGAAACAGACTGTAGATAGACACTGTGTGTGTATGTGTGTGTGTGTATACATACATACACATGCATATGGATGGATGGATCGATGGATGGATGGATAGATAGATATGTAGATAGACTGCGTATGTATATATGTATACACACACACATACTCATACAGATACAGAGAGAGAGAAAGACAGTGTAGAAAGTGTGTGTGTGTGTGTATACACGTACACATATTTATGTGTCATATACATATACAGATATACATACAGATACAGATATAAACAGAGATAGATAGATAGATAGTGACACAGCATTCATCCATCCAACATTTCTCTCTCTCTCTCTCTCTCTCTCCCCCCCCCCTCTCTCTCTTCTATCATTGACTTAATTTGGTAATATTACTCAGCCATCTGATTCCTGTTTTCCTTTTCCCTATCTCTACATTGTGACAGCTTGTTCTACAGTATAGGCAACTCTTCTTTCCTTTATTATTTGTCCACAGCAACCCAGGAAGGCCAGATTGACCCTTCTTTATATTTAACATGTACTGTATGCTTTAAAGAATGCAAGTAGCTCAGCTTTCCAAATGGCAGGGGAATGAAAATAATTAGGCTTGGCCATCTGTATTAAAAGGCATAATTTTTGTGAGTGGCAGATTGGTCTTCCCCTCTCTTCCCCCTCTGCCTCATCCAAATTTGAATCCTACATCCATCCAACATCAACCTAGTCGTTTTGTGCCTCTGATGAAGTAAGCTGAAGGTTATGCCTTTTAATAAAATGTGTCAGAAAAGAATGTACTACTGGATTTTTCCTGCTTTTTGGCACCATAGACTAACCAGTTTTCCTCCTACAATGTCTATAATGAGGAACAGCTTAGCAGGAGGAATGTAATATTCACGCCATTCTAAACAAAATGCTTCTGCATGCAACCTTTTCTCCTGGTGCAACCACAATCTTAAGAAAAGGAATTTTCTTCATGAATTTTGTGGAAGAAGGAAGAAACTATTTTCCTCTCAGTGCAGGCAGCAGTGATAATGTTCAGCTTTACATTGGACTCCCTTTTAAAATCCAGGCCAGACTAAATTCTGCCTAGAGTCATAAGATCTCATATTCAGCTTTATTGTAACTACTTTCACACAACACACTGAACCACAAAGCAGCCAAACCCATTTTAGCCTAGCTGCTGTGCACGCATAGTTTGTGTGGCTATTTTGATTGTTTGGTGTCATAGGATCTCCAAAAGCTCAGATGACTCAGTAAACCGTGGCTAAATAAGTCATAAGAACATCACCTACAAGAAACAGCATCAGAAATAAAACAACTCAAAGTTCATTCATAGCATCACCACAAGCTACAAACGTACCTTCTAAAGCAAATCGGTACAATAGGTTGGCCATATCTTCAACTTTTACTCCTGAGGAACTTTTCTTTCTTTCATTTTCAAGGTGCACTATGAGATCGGACACCACTTCATTGATGGAATCGGCATAGAGCAAGGCCTCTGAAGGCTTCAGCATCCTCTTGTTCAACACCTGCCGTAGACGGTGCCACCTTTCTCCATCCCTAAGAACGAGAGATATGCTTGGTTAACCCTTTGAGCTAGTCCAGACAGGAAACCAAAACTGTGCATGCGAATACTATCTGGCTCAGCGGTTAAAGACACTGAGCTTATCAGCTGACAGTCCCAGTTCAAGACCTGAGTGCCGTGCAACAGAGTGAGCTCCCGTTCTTGCCCCAGATTCCGCCCACCTAGCAGTTTGAAAGCACGCAAATATGAGTAGATAAATAGGTATCACTTCGATGGAGAGGTAACAGCTTTCAGTGTGCCTTTAGCGTATAGTCATGTTGGCCACATAACCACAGATGATGTCTTTGGACAATGCTGTCTCCCTCAGCCAAAAAACAGAGATGAGCACCCCACCCTAGAGTCAGACGCAACTGGATAGGAAAATCTTTACTTCAGGGGTGAAATGCTCCCGGTTCAGACCAGATCGCCCGATCTGGTAGCGATGGCGGCGGGTGGTTTGGAGAACTGGTAGCAGAATCCCTGTGCCCCCCCCACCCCCCACCATGCCCAGCTGAGCCGCACGATCATCAGAGGCTTTTATTTTTTTTACTTTTAAAAGCATTTTTTTCTACAACCTCGTCCAATGAAAAAATGCTTTTAAAAGTAAATAAATAAATAAATAAATAAATAATTTTATTTCTATACCGCCCTTCTCCCGAAGGACTCAGGGCGGTATACAGCCTATTAAAAACACAAAGACAGACATCAGTTAAAAATAATTAAAATTATTAAATAATTTCAGCTCAAATTTAAAACCCCAAAAATTTAAAACACCCAATTTAAAAATCATTACATTGATACTACATTGATAGTAAAAAAAAAAAAAATCCTCTGATGATCGCGCGACTCAGCTGGGATCATCAGAGGCTTTTCAAAGCATTTTTTTCTGCAACCTCTTGGCTGAAGAGGTGGTAAAAAAAAAATGCTTTGAAAAGTCTCTGACGATCCCAGCTGAGTTCCCTGATTGGCAGAGAGGTATTTTTTAAAGAGCCTCTCTGACGATCCCAGCTGAGTTCTTGATCGGCAGAGAGGCTTTTCAAAGCATTAGAAAAAACGCTTTGAAAAGTTTTTTTTTAAAAAAAGTTGGCCACACCCACCGTCACATTACACCCCTCCCCCACCAAGCCACACCCACAGAACCGATAGTAACAGATTTTACATTTCACCCCTGCTTTACTTTATTATAAGGTTACAGTAAGAGAATCTTCTTACTGTCTGAAGATTACATGTCTGAAAGTACTTCTCCCCTTGCCATTACTTTTCACAGATGTAGGAAGGGTCAGTTTTGAGATGCTTTATTAAATTACATTTCTGGTTTGGGCTTAGAGTTAGTTTATCAGAGTGTGGTCTAGGCCGCAGCTCTTCCTCCTGTCTTCCTCCTTCAGGGGCTATGCTATATGCAGGTTACGATATTCTCACAGCCCATTATACATTTTGAGCATGTGTGGAATCAGATGAATTACTAGAATCTATTGGGAGAGTTCACTAGCAGACTTAACTAAACTAGCTAGGTGTGGTTAAGTCTACTTTGTCTACAGGGCTTCTTGTTTTACACACACACACACACACACACACACACACACACACAATTTTCTAGAGTTTTTTCCCCACTGTATTTTTTATTTTCTAGGTATATTTTTCTTCTTTTTCTCTTCAAGGCACCCTTTTCTTATACAGGTTAAGCTTCTATATATTTTACATAGATATGTATATGTTTTATTTTATATGTTTGTAAATATATCTATACCAGGGGAGTCAAATGGCGGCCCGTGGGCTGAATGCCCACCCCAGCTCCTCAAAGGGGAAAAAAAACATCACGATACGTCATGTGATGGCAATGTGATGCAGCAAGTTTGACACCTGTGATCTACACACGTACAAACATACCCCCCATATACCCCAAAGGTTATGGGATTTCTTTTAAAGAAAGATTAATTGTAATCTTTTTGAAATTTAAGAAAAAATAGCAACGCATTAGCACGTTAGTCATATGAGTTATAATTTAAAATATAGAGAGTGCTAGCTGATTATAAGACATTTGGAGAATTTGCACAGTACTGTTATTTAGATCAAAGATCTACAGCAGTGGTTCTCAACCTTCCTAATGCCGTGACCCTTTAATACAGTTCCTCATGTTGTGGTGACCCCCAAACATAAAATTATTCCTAAAGCCATTGAAAATATGTGTTTTAGGCAACCCCTGTGAAAGGGTCGTTCGACCCCCAAAGGGGTCACAACCCACAGGTTGAGAACCACTGATCTACAGTAATGCTAAGACTTACATGACATTTCTGAGGGGAAAAATACTGTTTAAATAATATTTATATCTTCTCCCTTACAGATTCAAACCAGGTATCATGGCTGCACAAATCATGCTCAGAGATTAAGAAGCACAGAGTTTAATTCAGTTTCCCCCCAAAAAACAGTTGCTCTGAGTTAATTACGCAAGCATTCTCAGGAACTCGAATGAAATGTGAGTTGCTCTTCCACATATTTGAAAAAACATAACACCTTCCATGACCGCTAGGCAGGCTTGAGTTACGTTTTCTTAATTTTGCCTAAGGAAAGGTACACATGTCATGGTATGGGTTGTATTGGGGCTAGCCAAGGCAGTAATTAGCTTTTTTTGAGGCACAGCAATTGAGTCATTTTAATTCATATGTGCACATTATAGATAAGCTTTGGGTGTAGCTCAGGGGTGAAATCCAGCAGGTTCTGACAGGTTCTGGAGAACCGGTAGCGGAAATTTTGAGCAGTTCGGAGAACCGATAGGGAAAAATTTTGAATTTCACCCCTGGCGTAGCTGCACATCTATGTGAATTCATATTAGAAGTCTGTTTATTTAATTTCTGGTTAGATTTGTGGTAGGTAACTGCTTGACACTCACTCAGTGAAGGGGCCGTACGATAAGTGCCGTATGTCTCGATGCGCCTTCCAAAGGCTCATGTCACTCCGTATTGGGTATTTTCCCTCCTGACGTAACAGCTCCTCTATGATTTCAGGACTTCCAATATTAATATTAAGATAAGGGCCAGTAGTAGATCTCCATATGGGGCCAAACCTTTTCTTGGAAATGATCTAGAATAGAAAAAGTAATGTTGTTATTTGGAGGCTGTCAAAAAAGTGGGATATATTTGTGTGTTTGTGTGTGTGTGCATGCATAGGTCATTCATTGGATTCAATTGTTTCAATTATTCATTGGAATAATTGTGTGGAATCAGTTATTCAAACTGATCCAGTTCTTCAAGCTAGAAATGAGGGGGGGGAGTTGGTAGGGGGAGACCTTATTCTTTCCTTTCACTTCCTCTCTCTCTCTCCCAGTTTAGAAAAAATGGCAGATAAAATAGGGGTTGAGATCTGTCAAAACTATTGCCAACTCAGCAGTGCTAGCTTCCTGGATGGTTTTTCTCCCTGCCCCATACCCACCCCTGTGAAATATGAGCACTGGAGCAAAGAGAGGGGGGGAAAAAAGAAACCAGGAAAGAAACAAGAATGAGATGGGAAAGGAAAGGAAAGGAAACATGGCTGCTGGCTGTGGAATGTCAAGTTCAATACTAAAACAATTGGTTTACGTTATATGGATGAATGCAAGTGATAAGTAAATATTTGAAACATTTCTCTTTTGGGTCATCGGCCCCGTAACCAATTTCTGCATTTGCCTTGTTCCTTTGTCCAAAAGCTCAATCTGAGCTGTTTCTCGAATAGGGATAAAATCGATCTGAAGATACTGCATTTTCCGGCGTATAAGACGACTGGGTGTATAAGACGACCCTGGACTTTTCCTGCTAAAATATAGGGTTTGGGCTATACTCGCCGTATAAGACTACCCCTCTTCCAACCCACACCAAATAAAAATTAAAAAACATCAACTGGCTCACCCACAATGTAAAAGCAGCTGTGCTAGACCCAAAATGGCCCCTGCAACAAGCAGGAACCTCACACAGCCACAAAAAGCCCAAAAAAACAACTTTCACACTTTACACACACACAACACAACACAACTGGCTCACACACAATGTAAAAAGCAGCTGTGCTAGACCCAAAATGGCCCCTGCAACAAGCAGGAACCTCACACAGCCACAAAAAGCCCAAAAACCCAACTTTCACACTTCACACACACAAAATTCCATATACAGCTTTGTGAGATTTTGTGTGTTTGTGTAGTTAGAGTGAAACACTACAGAAACACACTAAATCTCAGAAAACTGCACAAATTTTATTTTATTTTATTTTTATTTTTATATGAAAGCTAAATTTAAAACTTCCTAAACTTTAAATGGCTAGGTCTAAAAAAGAACAACTAAAAAAAAACCTCAATTAAGTATTTTTTTTAAAGCTCCCAAAGGGGAAAAAAACTTACTCAATAGAACAGGGGTCTCCAACCTTGGCAACTTTAAGACTTGTAGACTTCAACTCCCAGAATTCCTCAGCCAGCAAAGCAAAGCTTCAAAGCAAAGTTGAAGTCCACAACTCCCTGCCTGCTTGATTGCAGGCAGGGAGTTGCTTGCTGATAGAATGGATTCAGGCAAGTGAAGCAAGGCAAACGTTGTGACTAGCAGCTAAAGTAAGCAAGCTGGGGGGGGGGAAACTTTTTTCCTTTTACATGGCTCTGGCGATCCCAGCTGAGTTGCCTGATTAGCAGGAAACTCAGCTGGGATCGTCAGAGCTTGGATCGCCAGAGCCTTTCGGGCTGGTCTGCCTGGTTACAGGAGAACGACACCCGGAGTATAAGACGACCCCCGACTTTTGAGAAGATTTTCATGTGTTAAAAGGTCGTCTTATACGCTGGAAAATACGGTACATGGAGTTTTCATTTGTATAAAAATTTAAGAAAAGAATCACAGGTTTTTTCCCCTCCTCTTCTCTGGGAAGCTCCAATGATATCCAAATTTATCAACATATATTTCTAGCTAAACACAGGATTATGGTTTACAAGATAGTTTTATATCAATCCGGGAGTGTAACTAATGCTCTCCAAAGGCAAACTTCCAGGGCCCCAAACAGTGGAGAAACTGGGGCGTGACCTTCCATCTGAACTGCAAAACTGGGGGCTTACGGAGGTGTATCTTCAGATACAGATTCAGAAGCCCTATGTCAGTGGTCGGTAACCTTAAACACTCAAAGAGCCACAAAGGTCCTAACCAGAAGCCCCCCGTTCAATTCTGGAGCTGAGCGGAAGTCTGCTTCCCCCACCATAGAGTCTCCTCCTAGCGCAGCATCCTTTTTCCTCTGCTGACCGGAAGTCTGGTTTTCCCCCACCATAGAGTCTCCTCCTAGCGCAGCGTCCTTTTTCCTCTACCTGTCCTAACCGAAAGCCCTATTAATTGTGGAGCTGACCAGCGACAAGGAGCTGCAGCAGAAGGATGAAGAGCCACATGCGGCTCCAGAGCCGTGGGTTGCTGACCCCTGCCCTATGTCTTCAGCCCCAAACCCTTGCATATCTTTACTCTTTGTTCTCACCTGATGTGGCTATTCTTAAAAATAAAGTCATGTCATGAAACTTGAATTTAAGTGGCCTAATTTTTGGAACAATTCACAACCGGCCTCACACACTAAGCTATTTAGTTACTACATAGATTCTTAGTAGCCAGGAGAGACACTGGCAGCTTTCCCAAAAATAGATGTTTTCTATGAAAACAGCCTTTGTTTTTTTTTTGTCCCTTGCAACCCAGCAGTTTTACTGTTGATTGAGTTCAAAGGATGTCCCTGCGGTCCAATGTGTGTATAGCCTGTGATGTCAAGAAGCCATTATTGTGCCTATCAGATTACGATATTTGTTTATGCTTTGGGTATTCTAAAAGCACACAAAGAATCTCCAACCTGGTATTTAATAAAATATAATTATATTTGCTGAATTTTTGTTTCATCTGGATAAATCATGTTTGGCATTTATTTCCCGACAGGAGCAAACTATGGATTCTGTAGCAGTAAAGCCAACTAACTGCATATGCTGTTTTTCAAACATGTTATTCCCAACCCATGTTTAGTACACTGTCATGTCTTATCTACTGTGGCTTTTTTAATCTGTTAGTTTGGAACCCAGCACTTTAATCTGTACATCTGAACTTCTTGCAACAATCTGTTAGGGAAAGCAGAGAAAACAAGTTAATTTCTGAACAATCAGGCTGGCAAGTAGCCTGTGCTGACAAAGGAATTCAAATATTTGTCTTGATTTGAAGTGAAAAGGCAGATGAAATATTTATTCTGGCCTATCCACTGGGTCCATTTTCTCTCTTGAGAATTTTTCCAATATCCTTTTTGTATAGGGAATTAAAAAAAACAGAAGGCATCTACCAGTAGTAGGGACTGTTGTTATTAACACATTTTATTAAATCAACGTTTTGTGAACAGAGTCCTCCTGGTTTTTCACTGCCATAGACTGCTCATCTATCATGTTTATATTTAGTGTAAAGAATGGAAATGCCACATTCCTGGAGGACATTTATTCTTTCTCATATCAAAAATGCTAACAATGAATAGTAGTGAAATCAGAAATGAGGAAGAGAAGAGAAGAGAAGAGAAGAGAAGAGAGAGAAGAGAAGAGAAGAGAAGAGAAGAGAAGAGAAGAGAAGAGAAGAGAAGAGAAGAGAAGAGAAGAGGAGAAGAGAAGAGTGGATGGACTCAACCTTATTTTTCTAACTACCACATCTTTCTAACTTCCCTTTTTCCCCAGGTAATTTCTTATCTCCAACTCCCCAAGCACCCTGCAAATGCAAAAAATGAGTTGACTGCTTTTGAAGCTTCATTTTATGACTAGAGGAGACAATTGGAAATTAGGACACAGGAACTGTTTAATTCCATTTCAGAGCATGACAACAATGGGACATTATCGACTTAAAAAGCCATGCTGTCAACATCTGTAGGAAGTGACAGGTCCCCAATATTCTTAATTTTATTGGCTTTGGTATATATAGGAAGAGGTAGCAATGGTGATTTATGTAGTGCTTTGACATTTACATCTTTTAAGTTTTTTTAGCATACATTCTTCTATTTTTTTTACAGAAGACAACCTATTATCTGGCTTCACAGATCACATTAAACCATGGTTTATTTAACCAAGGCTTGTTGAAAAAGCCAGAATTAACTATATTTACTCAATATATATGAATCAGGTAACAATCTAAAATGTTTGAGCCCAGAAGCAATTAAGTCAAAACCATACATACTAAATTTTGGGTTAATCTATATCTTATTTCATAAAATTTTCCTTTTATTTGCATAACCAATGATGGATACAGATTCCAAGTAGAAAGGAAAAGTAATCATACCCTAGAACAAGGGTGTCAAACTCACATTGTCACAGCAGTGTCGGGACTTTCCCCACCTTCATTAAACTGTGCATGGGTGTGGCCAGCATGTGATGCATCCGGCCTTCGGGCCAGGAGTTTGACAGCCCTGCCCTAGAAGAACCTTCTAGTGCCCTTCGGATATTCAGATGCAATCCACCTGCATCAAGATGGCTATGGAATGTAATTATTTGATATCAGGTTAACTGAACTTTTGAAGAAATCAGTTGGGGAAAATTTTCCTGAGGAAAATTTTATATTTTCCTGAGGAAAATACAAAGCATCTGCAGATGTAACCTGCAAGACAATACACACTTATGTACATTTAATTAGTATTTAAAATGACACGCCTCAGAGCAGATACATAAAATTATCAAGCAATCCTCTAACCGTTTGAAACTTGGAAGTTTTAATTTCTGGTTGCATAAATGGCCCAGAAGTGTGAACTTCCCTAATGCCTCTTGAAATGTGTGCCTTCTGTCACATGTTTTGACTGACATGGATCATTGTTTTAATACTTTCTCCTGGCTCAACTCTTTATTTTTTAATTTGTTGAATTCCAGAAGCAGTGCCATATGCCATTGGCACTGGAATGCTGAGGCCAAAGTTTTGTTTGATCTACCAAGAGTCATCTCCCAAATTATTGCAAATAAAGGGATGGAGCCCATTAGATGGTTAGAACGAGCATATGTTCTTGCCAGGGGGGGTTGGTGGAGGATTACTTTTACTTTTATTTTTTATTTCTTTTATACAGTGTTTTTATAATTTTGTTAGCCGTCTTGAGTTGCCATGTACTAGTAGGCGGCAATATACATTTTCTAATTAAATAAATAAATAAATATAACTAATTAACTAGCTAGCTAGCTAGCTAACTAAATATGGCTTTGAGGGGTCCTTGGTGCTCTCCGAGCCTGCTTGTTTTCTTGAAGACATTCTGCAAGAAAGTGAGAGAACATTTTCTCTAGGGCTGAAGATTCATTACTAGTTAGAGTAAGAAACCTCTGCAAGAAAACAAGCCAGCTCAGAGAGCACCAAGGACCCCTCATGTCAACCCTGAGCTGCAAATATTCTCCTTTAAATACGGCTTTAGCAGAGGGGGGTAGGTTAAACTCAAGCGCATCTGAACATAAGCAGAGTGGCTTTCTCCCCACTCCATCCTGACCCTCCCTAAGTCACTTCGGTGGATAATACCAAGGTAATACCACGAGCTCCGTAGCAGCAAAAACAGAGCTTCATTCTTCGACGTGCAATTCTTAGGTGCTCCAGCAGCACCCGATGCCCTTCCCGGACAGATTGTCGCCTGCCTGCGTTTTCCAACCGGCAAATCATTTGGCTCGTTCGCTCATCTCCAGACGGCTGTGCAGCCTTCTGGCTACTTGGTAAAGAAAGCCAAATTGTTCCCTCCAGAGATCTCCCCCCACCCCACTGCCCCGGAGACATCCCCGGACCGGTGGCCTCGTCACCTGAAGTTGGTGCGTGTGCAGCAAGTAGCCTTTCACGAAGAGCCAATAGAGGGTCTCAAGAGACCCCATTCCGGGCAACTCCTCCGGCCTCTTTAGCCGCTCTTCATGCCGGGGGATCGAAGCTGACTCTGCAACGCTGGAAGTAGCCCTCCAAAGGGGAGCGGGACGGGGTACTCCGGACGGCGACTGCAGGCAGCGCCCCAATCTCCCGGCAAAGCCGCTCCACTTCACCATAGCGCGGCTGGATCGGCTAAGCAGAGAAAGAAAGTGGAAAACAGCAAAGGAAGCTGACTTCCAGCCAAGCGCGGGAGGAGCTGTCCAAAGACGTAAAAGTGGAAGAAAGGAGGAAAAAGAAAAAAAAAAAATATAGAAGCGGGCGGACCCAGTTAGGAATAGCCGTCGATTCTTCGTGGACTCGCTTTCCCAAGAGGCCGTGCGAGAGCGATTTGAAGGGTCAAAAACACCCTTCCCCGCCCATCACTTGTCGGATTTAGAGATAGGGAGATAAGATTGCGCTTGGGTTGTTTTGAATGTCCGGTTCTACCAGTTGCGGAAGATTCGGCACTGCAAGGCTGGGATCACGAGTTTTTCAACCCGGGATCAGAGCAGAGGCGTCTCTGACAATTTCTTCCGATCAAAAAACCCCCTCCCGGTTCCCCCCAGACGTCCTTCCTGTCAGCCTGTTTAAGGGACAATTCGCATTATGGGGCAGCCGAAAAGTTATTAGTATTGTCCTAGCCAATCGTACTGACTTTCTGGGCTGCCTTCGGTTTAGAGTGGGTAGGAAATTGTAGCAAAACAAACCGAAGGAGCAGCACACAATTCAGCATCTTAATCCCCAATCGCCTCTCGGAACTGAAGCAAAACACGCATGCATGCCGCATTTGTCAATGGAAAGATGCCTAAAAGGTTCCCCACACTATTAGGTTTAATACAGGGGTGAAATCCAGCAGGTTCTGGAGAACCGGTAGTGGAAATTTTGAGCAGTTCGGAGAACTGGCAAATACCACTTCTGGCTGGCCCCAGAGTGGGGTGGGAATGGAGATTTTGCAGTATCCTTCCCCTGCCACACCCACCAAGCCACGCACACACAACTGGTAGTAAAAAAAATTGGATTTCACCACTGGTTTAATATTACCAGAGAAACTTGTTTAAAAAGGCGAGAGTTGCTTGGCATGCAGAAGCAATTAAAGGATCGGATTTTCTCTGAAGGCAGTACAAAAAATAATTTTCTTTCTGTGCTTCCTTCTTTCCAGCTTCTACCATGAAAAATATGACAACTCATGGTCTAAAATAAAACAATGCATCTGCCTGTATGGAAGCTATACATGGAAGGAAGACATTTAAATGTTATCCCCCTTGTTCTTCTATCTACTCCTACATCCTCATGTGGAGGAGAGAGTCAAGGCTGCCTTAAGCTGAGCTGAATTCTTGATAAGGACATGGACAAGTGATTTATTGTTCTACAGGTGGGAAATTGTTTGCCAATACCTTTTTCCTGACATGTTTTTTGACTTCCCAATCTACCCTCCAATCCTGAGCTTCTGGGATGACCTTCATCCTCACCCCACCCATTGACATCCAAACCTTGCTTAGATTTTTTTTTGCTTTGAGATCAGCGATGCGCTGCCGCTCGCTGGGACATCAGTAGCCATCAGAATGACCGAAACAGAGCATCCAACTTTGTAAATTCATTCTGCATCAATAACCCGAAGGCAGGCAAAGTCATAAAAGAATTCTACTGGTTCAGACTTGCTGGATGTCTTAGATTTGCTGTGAACAGCAGCACTCTCGATGCACACAAAAATGTTTTATGAGTCTACTTTCTGGAAGCAAGGAGAGGACTTCGCTTTTGCAAGAATTAAATTAGAAACCAAATCACTTTGGAAAATTAATACCTTTGCTATTATAGGGTAATGTATAATCTTAAAAAGAAAGAAATCTCCTCCCTCCTTTTTTTTCTTTATTCTCTTTTCTGCCCCCCCACCCCCACTCCAACAGGCAGGTTCTTTTCCATCTTAAGGGATTGGAAAGAAATGAACAGAGTTTCAGCTGAAGCCCAAGAGATATGCTCTGGTAATTAATAAACATGTCTCATCTTGTTTTAAAATTGCTGGTTGTAGTTCTGTCAATATATATTCTCACTGGATTTGTTTCCTTTAATCATTATGCATATCATAATCAGTGTGGAACATATGAAATAAAAGGAATATATCATCTCCGAGTATATTCTGTTCTATCTCGCCAGTTTCAAGGTTTCAAGGACAACCTCCTTGATGGGGAGGGGGAAAAATGGGGGAATTTTCCTTCAGATGCAAACATAAAGATGATCCCACCCAAAATATGAATCAGTATTTGAGATGATCAGCTGGATCAATACAGGTAGTCCTCAATTTACAACAGTTCATTTAGTGACCATTCAAAGTTACAATGGCAGTAGAAAAGGTGACTCGTGACCAATTTTCACAGTTCCAACCTTTGTAGCATCCCTATGGTCGTGTGACAAAAATTCAGATGTTTGGCAACTGGTTCATATTTATGGCCTTTGCTGTTTCCCAGGATCATGTGATCCCCTTTTGCGATCTGCTGACAAGCAAAGTCAATGGAGAAGCCAGCTTCATTTAACAACCGGGATACTAATTTAACAACTTCAGCGATTCACTGAACAACTGTGCCTTGAAAGGTTGTAAAATGGGGCAAAATTCACTTAACAAATGTTTCAGTTAGCAGCAGAAATTTTGGGCTCAATTGTGGTCGTAAGACAAGGACTACCTGTCTTTTAAATTCAAGTTATTATAGGTAGTCCTTGCTTAATAACCAATAACAATTGGGACTGGCAACCTTGTCAGCAGTGACATGGTTGTTAAGCAAGACCTCATGTGACCACAACTTGTGATTTTTATTACTTATTGGAAGCTAGGTCTGAAGTGTGCAAATGATGATCATGGGACCGCAGGACACTGTGATGGTCATAAAAATCTGCCAGTTGCGAGGCATCCAAATCTCACTCCTATGACCATGCGGTAGCTGCAACAGTCACGTGAAGAGGGTTGGCTGTAAAGTTGCCTTTTCAACACTGTCAAAAATTCGAATGGTTGCTAAACAGGGCAGTTGCTAAGTGAGGACTATCTGCACAAGTATTTAGTTTATTTATTTTATTTTATTTTATTTTTATTTTATTTTAAATTTATATACCGCCCTTCTCCCTGAGGACTCAGGACGGTGTACAGCCAGAATTAAAAAACATGAAATACAAATATTAAAAACAATTAAAATATATATAAATTTGGCCCAAAATTAAAAATACAAACCAATTAAAACATTTAAAATTTCTTCTTAAGCCAGCCCGGCTTGCTGGAAAAAGTGGGTTTTAAGGGCATGGCAGAAGGCACTAAGGTCTTGGATTCTCCTTATCTCTGGGGGCAACTGATTCCAGAGGGTAGGTGCCCCCACAGAGAAGGCCCTCCCCCTGGGGGTCACCAGCCTGCATTGATTGGCTGATGGCACCCTGAGGAGGCCCTCTCTGTGGGAGCGCACGGGACGATGGGAGGTCGTTGGTAGCAGCAGGCGGTCTCGAAGATAGCTAGGCCCGATGCCATGGAGTGCTTTAAAGGTGATAACCAGCACCTTGAAGCGCACCCGGAAAACCACTGGGAGCCAGTGCAGCTCGCGCAGGAGCGGTGTTACATGGGAGCACCATGCTGCTCCCATCACTACCCGCGTTCTGCATTCTGGACCAGTTGGAGCCTCCGGGTGCTCTTCAAGGGGAGCCCCATGTAGAGAGCGTTGCAGTAGTCAAGGCGAGAGGTGACGAGGGCATGAGTGACTGTTCACAGGGAATCCCGATCAAGAAAGGGCCGCAACTGGCGAATCAGGTGAACCTGACAAAAGGTCCCCCTAGTTACAGCTGTCAGATGTTCCTCCAAGGACAGCTGCATATCCAGGAGGACTCCCAGATTGCGAGCCCTTTCTGTGGGGGCCAGAGACTCGCCCCCAATAGTCAGTGATGGAGTCAACTGACTATATCGGGATGTCGGGAGCCACAGCCACTCAGTCTTGGAAGGGTTGAGCTTGAGCCTGTTCCTCCTCATCCAGATCCGCACAGCCTCCAGGCACTGGGACATCACTTCAAGGGCATCATTGGGGTGGCCTGGGGTGGAGATGTACAGCTGGGTGTCATCAGCGTACTGGTGGTATCTCACCCTGAAGCCACGGATGATCTCGCCCAGCGGCTTTACATAAATGTTGAACAGAAGGGGCGAGAGGACCGATCCCTGTGGCACTCCACAGATGAGAGGCCTCGAGGTCTATAACTTCAACAGTTATTTTAATAATCTGGGATTCCCTTCATACTCATCTTGGCCGCACCATTCATTTCAACTGGGAAAAAGTCCTTCAGCATTGGATGCAGTGGACCAAAAGTCTGGGGCTCACATAAACATTCTCAGTCCACTCTTCTTCCCTGAATTTGTCAGAGAACAGCCCTATGGAGAACCAATGCAAAAAATAAAATAAAATAATAAATTAATATACATACATATACATATACATGCATACATACATACATACATACATACATCTCTCTCTCTCTCTCTCTCTCTTTCTCTCTCTCTCTCTCTCTCTCTATCTATCTATTTATACACACACACACACACACATAAAATAAAATAATTGGTGGGACCCATAGCTCAAACAAGACACTAAGCGGACATAGTCTAAGTGTGTTAAATTCTAGAGGCCTAGAACTAGCCCTTGACCTGTGGCTCCAGTGTTTTTGCTGCTCTGCAATTGATGTAGCTAATTGTTAACTCACGTTATCAGTCAATTTGACTGAGGCTTTATTTAAGGGGTAAACTTTGTCCTGGAGTCTCCCTTGAACCCATGTAACCTAGCTGGCATCTAATTTCACCCTTCATTCTTGCAAAGTAATTAAGGTCATTATTGGATACATGCAGTAAAGTTGCACTATGATTGCATTTAGACCAAGTTATACAGTATATTGCTTTCCAGCTACTTGACACATCTTTCAAAAACACAGCACATCTGTCAGACATAAAGAATCCGTAGGTTTTCATTAAAATTATAATGGAAATATAATGGAAAACGAATGAAAAGACAGCTCTAAAATAATCTCAGTGCTTTGCAAATGGTGATGGGTTGAGATTTTTTTGTGCCTTCAAGTCAGATTTTTTTGGGGGGTGGTTTGCCTTCAAATACAGAGAATGTTGCCCTTTCTGCTTCAGCCCAAATGGAATTCAGGACACAGGAAGTACTAAATGTTATCAGGAGGTGCAACTTCTGAAGAATACAATTCTTTGGTGTCATCTTACAAGGGTCTCCAACAGTAGTGGGTTTCAAATCCCGGCGCTACTGGTTCGCTGTTGGTAGCACATGGGCGCGCACACTCACTTTGCGAGCGTGTGATGCTTCTGTG